GGGTTGTCAGTCACCGGGCACTCGTCAATTAAATCGTGTCAAATCCTGTCGTCGAGATCCGTTGCCGTGACCGCCGGCTCCTGGATGCCAGATGCTACGTGATAGTTGAACCCCTTAGCCATTAATTTAGATATTGTTTGCAATATATTGGAATCCAGCTTGAAGTGCTTGTAATCTTTAATTCTAGTTTGAGCACACTTTTCGGTTATTGGAACAGACGTGGACCTTAATTTAAGTGTAAGGAAGTGGTTGTCGCGAAAGAGTACTGCCTCGCATACATGTATAAACACACGGTGTGCGTGATAACGAACAGTCGTTGTGATATCGCTGCTCAATGCGGGCCGACATGGGTGTCTGATCGTCTTCGTTCGACGGTGCCGCGGCGATCGAGTGATCGATTGCTGTCTGTTTTCTTAGCGATTTTGTTGTAGTCGCCACCCGATCTAAGATCGCCGATTTTGTTAGGTTGCCCGGACAGTAAACGGCAATGTATGTATTTTTGTAGCGTAAATCTAGCAAGCACTTGATCTAGATACCTACGCTAAACTGAAGTTGACTCCTAGAAAAATTGTCGTGACGTTTCGCGTGACCGGACGATCTACCGCAGCGAACATCCGCTCAAAGGACCAGATGCAGTTGTGGCAAAACCAGTAGAGAGCTCGTTGGATCACTTGATATCTGTAAATAGTCAGAAAAATGATCACTGTGTTTGTCCACATGTGCCAAGTTTTGCCTGGTTCTGTTAAAAATAAAACAGGCAAAGCTTGTGCGATAGCACTGCTTTGACAACCTTGCAGAATACAGAGTGCTCCTTGACGTTTAACTAATGACACCCAACAACTAAGGCGCTCTTTGTTGAATGCAGTACCTGGCTAGTACCGCCTCCTCCTCGCTGCGTCTTTGCTGCATATGAACACAATGCTAAAAAAAAAAATGCACGCCAACCCAACTCGAGAGATGGGGTTAATACGAAGCAGAGTGCATCATAGTTGGAGAGGACACGGCACAAATGTGTCTGGATGATCTCTGACAGAGGGGAACCGAAAGCACGCAGCGGGCGTTTGCGAAATATCACTGACCTATAACACAATGGATCAGTGTGGTTTACTCTGTACCGCCTAGAAGACCCACGACCCCGCCCCAACAGTGATAAAAATGTAGCAATGAAAGTTCTTGTCCTGAAACTCTCTCAATTGAGGTCTGGGCTCACGCACGCGCAGTATACGGTGCTGCGCCCAATCTTTCGCGTCTTTGTTGATTACTTTTCGTTCACGCCCACAAATCGGTCAAGATTTATGCCGTGACAATTTCGTGAAGATCTGGTGTTGTTACCTGTTGGGTCACGAAAGAGTCGATCGAGAAATAACGGAGTTTTGCCTCTATATCGCTCGACCATCAACGCACAATAGCTCTCATTTTTGTTTTAGTCTACCGTGGGAAGCTAGGTCGTGTACATTGAACGCGACCGGCGGATACTAAGTCTCAGTGTTGTTCGACCATTGGCTGGTTAGAGGATTGTCCCCTCTCAGAGACCACGCTCTCAATCAGAGTCTCTGGTCTCCTTCCCACGCCTTAGTCATCCACATACACAAATCGTGGAAACAAGATTCGCTATATCGTTGTGCAGAGACGTACCAACTAGGGGTGGTGAACGATGTCTGACTTCGGTCGACGATGCCGCGGCGACCGAGCGATCATTTCGCTGTCCGTTCTCTTCACCGAATTGCTGTAGTCGCCACCCGGTACAATGTACAAATCTCTCGTGAATGGATCATCAGACAAAATCCGATCTTGTAAGGCTCCACGGCAATCGCACATTGAATAGGTATTAATACTAAGTCACTTGTCGTACAAGTTTTGCTTAGTAGAAATCACGGCTTTCAAAGCCCCTACATAAGAATAAATTCAAGAAATGTCCATACCATGCGAGGGCTTGGTTGCCTTCTCGTATGGACGGACCACACAGCTGGGCGTTAGGCAGGCAAACTTGGCGCATGTGGCGGACGAACACAGTGGTCATCTTTCTGTCCGTCTGTAGACATCAAGTGATCTAACGATCTCTCTACTGCTGTTGTCACCACTGCATCTGGCATCCAGGAGCCGGAGGTCACGGCAACGGATCTCGACGACAGGATTTGACACGATTTTAATTGACGAGTGCCCGGTGACTGACAACCCTACAGGCTGCTGGTTGCACCTCGACACCACAGTGGCAACCTGTTAACAACCGCCACCACCGCGCAATCGAAAGTCGAACGCTGAGCAGAAGTCCTCACTCCACCTCATTATTCAATCTCCGCTCTTCACACCAAGTGACTAGCAACCAACCTACACGACCAACTCGGGCTCTCCACTACTACTACTACTACTACTCCTACTCCTACTACTCCTACTACTACTACTCCTAACCATGGTCAACGTCGTCTCCGTTTTCACTGTCGCGCTCGCTGCCGTGGCCGCCGTCGCGTCGGGAGCCTCCATGCGCTCGGAGGCCGCCCCCATGCCCACCGGGTCGTGGCCAGCCAGCAAGGGCACAGTCTACCTCAAGGAGCCGTACACGGTCAAGAAGGGCCAGACGTTCGACGGTGGCATGAAGACGTACGCGCGCTCGAACGTCAAGTGCGGCGGCCAGAAGGAGAGCGGGTGGCAGACGGCCGTGTTCATGGTGGAGCCCGGTGCCACGCTCAAGAACGTGATCATCGGCAAGGACCAAATGGAGGGTGTGCACTGCGAGCAGAGCGGCTGCACGATCCAGAACGTGTGGTGGGAGGACGTGTGCGAGGACGCGCTGAGCATCAAGGGCGGCTCGGCCAGCAGCGTGACCAAGGTGATCGGCGGTGGCGCGCGCTCGGCCGACGACAAGGTCATCCAGCACAACGGCCTGGGCACGGTCTCCATCGAGGGCTTCTACGCACAGGACTTCGGCAAGCTCTACCGCTCGTGTGGCACGTGCGGCGGCAAGTCTCGCAAGGTGAGCCTCACGAACGTGCTGGCCGTGAACGGCAAGGTGAGCCTCGTGACGGTCAACAAGAACTGGGGCGACCAGGCCACGCTCCAGAACATCAAGATCAAGGGCAAGAAGGTGGACGTGTGCCAGTGGTCGCAGGGCTCCACTTCGGGCGAGCCCAAGAAGCTGGGCGCCGGTCCGTCGGGCTCGCTCTGCAAGTACTCCACCAGCACCATCTCCTACGCCTAAGTGTGTGAGCCTGCTCTACTCAACACGTCGGTTGCAAGGCAGTCAGGTAAAAAGAGACGGCAACCGCGTATCCAGTAAGAGTACTCGCACCAGCATGGTGAGTCATTGTATGTAGTTGAGTCGACGTAAGTTGTGTCGTCCATGAGTCGGAAATTTCGACTCGGAATCAATAGAAAGTTAGATGTGTTTCAACCCATTTTTGCTGTTGGAAAAAAATCTACCGTCCACAGCTCTGGCTTTGTGTCTGCTCTCACCATCTGAGCTTGACATTTATTTTACTAAAGAAATGTCAGCGGATCTTCAATTCTCGATCAACGGGAAGTGTATGGTGGCCAGAGGATGAGTAGACGAGGTGGTGGCGCTCAACCTTCGCTCACTTGCTCGTGTTGCCATTCGCCACCCTTCAGATGCTCAATGTCGAAGGCGGCGTCAGGCCGTGGCGGTCGCGCCACCGCGTCCTACATCGTACGCTGCATATCTGCACACAGTTTTCAAGCTCCATCCAAATATTAACGCTAGAGTTGCGGTAGCATAAAGGAGAGGGGCTTTAGAAGTGTCGAAATTTCCTCGGCACTGGAAGTTCGCGACTCCAGCGAACTGGGTATTCGAGTCAAATAATAAGTCAAATAATTCGACCGCTGATTTATTTTTTCTTTTACATTTGGTGACTTTGACGTAAAGCGTAGGTTTGCTCTGAGGATATCAATTATGAGATGCATTATCATCATTCTTTTGGATAATATCCAAATCCTCTTCGTCTAATCAGAAATGGCAGGTGGCTTCGCTAGCGACACAGCAGCCTTCTTGGACGCCGACACGCGTGTAGTGCCTCACCGTGCTCTGGAACATCTCTCCTCTCTTTCCGCTGCGTCTCTCCAGGCTTTGGCGAGCGCTGCAGCCGCTGAATTGATTGGAAACTCTTGTTCCGGTAACACATACACCGAACAACAGATATCGGTCGACAACGAGGCCTTGGCAGCCATGTCTGCTATCGTCGTGACTCTAGCTAGAGACGGAGGGGTACGAACACCGGTGGATCAACGGTATGAATCGAAATAACGACGCAAATGACCGTAGTCTCTCTAATTTGATACTAACGTTGAACCAGTGCACTTAGGCAACAGCTCTACACTCTTGGTGTGGAAGACGAGGACTTGCAGATGAAACTCATACCAGTGTTGGCTTCGGTGGTGCCAAGTGTGGAGCGTGTTCTACAAAATACCAGTACGTTGCAAATTGACATGAGTCCAAGCTGAAAAAATCTGACAAACTTGATACAATGTAGGCTTTGACTTCGCCCACGTGGTGGATGTGAACTGGAGACTGGACTACGTACTGCGCTCGAGTAGTGCTGGCAGCGTTCACGAACCACTATACTTCGTGCATCTAAAACTGCAGTCACCTCATACCAACGATCCAGGGCTTCAGACTGTGGCGTTCTTATGCTCAGTGGAAGAGCTGCGGTCGCTCGTGTATCGTGTCCAAGAAGCTGCCAACGAGGTGGAAAAACTTACGACTGGAAACCCTTCCCAGCTTCGAACTAGCACTTGAGGGAAGTAAAACAAGGCAGAAGAAGCTAAAATGTAGCTATTACAACTGGATCAAAGCTGTTTTGAACAACTTTGAGACTCAGTAGCCATAGCGGTCGTTGTTCTGGCTAATAACAACGCGACCCTTTTCGAGCAATTGAATGTCCTTCTCAAGCTGCGTCAGCTCCCTCTCGAACGTCTCTTTTCGCCTCACTTTACCCAACGTGTCGAACACGACGTTGTGGCAGAGTTTCTGGTACTTGGCATTCACGTGATCCCATTTGGACTTGAGCGCATCTACAAGCCCCAGCCGCTCGCTCTCGTCCATGGGCTCCACGCGATCGCGACCGTCTTCCTCCATGAGATTGTGGTTTTGCCGCACGAACTCCTCGATCATGGAGTTCTCGCGCTCGATCTCGTCCTTGACTTGACTCAAGTATCGTGGCACCTGGCCATAGTCCTCCTTGGTCCTGTACTGCGGAGGTTCATCCTTGGCGCGTGCTCGATTGCCTGGTACAGCGAGGATCGTCTCAACTGCATTGGCAGTGACGAAATTCTTGGCAGATTTGAGTCCCATAATGGGCTTATCATCTCTTTTCACTACAGGAGGCCTCGTGGCTCCAGGGTAGTTGAACTTTGCCGCTAAAATATAAAAGAACGCGTCAGAAGAGTTTTTAGATAAGATTAAAGAAAATACTCACGCTTCTTGGAGACGATGCTTGTGCTCTTATCACCTTTACGGATGAAGGACTTTGGATCAGGTTTGGCAGGTAGACGACCAAAGCCACGGGCACTGGCAGGTTTCTCCATCTTTTGAGCTGTTCCTAGATTGGCTCCTTCGAGTTTGGTCTTCCCACGTACACCAAAAGTGGTTCCTGTCGGCTGCACTTTAGGATCGAACTTGGAGCGATACCGTTCAGGCTTGGCAGGTTCCACGTGCACCTTCGGGATCAAGTTGTAGATGCACTCTTCGCGCTGCATTGTTGATGGTCTTGGTCCTCAACAGAAGAGGAGTCTTTGGCTGATAGCTCTAAAGGTGAATGGCGAAGTGCTATGGGTTTCGATTCTGCACGATCTCATGAACAAGCAGAGCTATCTTCAGCACTCTGCATTGACTACATTTAGCTTTATACTACAATTCTATTCTGTCTCTTCATTTACTGGCAGGCCTTGTGCTTGATCGTAGACTCGGTGATTTCTTCGACACTGGTGAAGTCCGAGTCCGAATCAGCGTGCTCGTCGTCCGGAACCACGTCCACCACGACCATAGTGTGCGGAGGTTCGACCTCTACTAATACCGGTGTCGACATCGTTGGTTTCGGGGTTGCTGGTGTCGTAGTAACCTGGTTATCCTCACCGCCCTCCCATTCATCACCGGCATTCACTTGGCCCACAACGTCGCCATCTACGTCAAACACAGTCAACGACGTGATATCCTGAACGACTTGATCAATTGATGGGGTCGCTGTAGGGACTGCACTCGGCTGTACAGTTGTTGGTGCTGGAGTCGGTACGGTGGAGTTGTTGGTCGTGTTGGCTGCGTTGATTGGTGACATTCTGAGCTTCTGGACGAACACGCCATTGTCCCAGAGCTTTACGAAATGATCCGGAAAGAACGTACCGGCGCTTGGTCCCCGAAGCGCTTCGTTGGACTGACCAGAGCACTCTCCATCACTTTCGCCCGGCGGCTTGGCCCAAATATATCGACTTACAACACTTGAGCCCGTGTTACTAGTCGGGAACTCGCCAATCCCAGCCCATTCCGAATTACACCATTCGGAAGATCCCGTCACGTAGTTGCGACTTGTATCAACGATGCACTTGTAGTCCCTGCCAGTGGCGTTGACGAACCGCTCACATGTAGCAACCATCTCGGCATTGGAGCGGTAGTTCGAAGTGTTGAGTGATATCCCCTTGCATCTCGAGTCCGGATCGACAGCGTTCACGATCTTGGCAACCGCAGCGGCTTGTTCATCGTTAGCAAGCGTCCAGTACCCCACATCCAGGTACAGTTCAGCGTTGGTATTCTGCGAGAGGATATCCATCGCCACTCCGAGGTTTGCAGCGTATCCTTTGTCGTTACCACACCCGTTATTGGCTAGAAGACCGATGGCATCCGGTTCCAGGATGTAGACGATCTCTCTGTCACCGGCAGAGTCTGCAAGTTGCTGTAGGAACGCGCGGTAGTCGTTAGTGTTGGCGTTAGACCCAGCGGTGGAGTAGCCGTGAGCGCAGTCTTTTTGGGGTAAGCCGTACACGATGACGGTGGGCGTGCTGGCGTTCTCGACGCACTTGGGAAGCACCACAGACTTGGCGAGACTAGAGACGTCAGACACGCGATCAGTGTACCATTGAGCGACTTGCTGTTGTGCTACCAGCTCGATCTGGTCCTTGAGGTTCGGATACGCAGAGACTGCTCCTGGATACGATCCAGTCAGGATCGATTGGCAAGCATCCGATGAGTACGCACTCGATCTTGATACCGAAAGAGCGGTGAACAGAAGAGCGACGTAGCGACTAACGGGTCTCATGATGCCGGGTTAGCTTGGCTGCTACTGAGGCTTGGAGACTGGAAGTCGGAGTTTCTTGTATAGCTGGTAGATTGAGATCTGAGAGGTTTGTAGCGCTCGGGTGGTGCCCCAAGCCATCATTTTTGTAGTCGCTTTAAGCCTGATACTTACGCCTCAACGTGTGCCTCTGCCTACCCGTCCCGCCATCTTCAATAGAGCGGGTACTATGTCATAGTGTCTGGATTATAAGATGCCTATTCCTTGTCGATCTGAGACCAATACAGACAAAAAAAGAGGAATAAGATTAATCAGCTTCGGTTGAGTATTCAATTAAACTTTCAACCAGCTTACCGTGAAGTGAGGGCAAATATTACACAACTTCTTCACTCGATGAACGCTGCGTCCTCGGTGTCCGACGAGGACGATCTCTTGGTACCACATCCTCGTCATCTGAAGATCCTCTCTCCCCACACTCCGCATCCACTAGATCAATCTCATCGTCGTAGTTGTCTTTCACTGGCGAGTTGGCATCGATGCGCGAGTATTGCACGTTACTGCGCTTCTTATGAGTCCCTGACGCTGATTTCGCTCTCGTCTTCTTGCTGCTCCTTCGACGTCGAAAGAGCATGACGACGATAAGCAACACCAGTCCGGCAAGCGCTGCCATCGCGACTGGGCCTGACCACGACACGGACGGCAAGATCGATGAAATCGACGACTGTTGCTTGCTCGTCACATCCGCATTAGCACTGGATCCAGAAGCGTTAGCGGCGGTCGTGAGGGTTGGAACTTCGCTTGGCTCGATCCCGGAGATCACAGCGCCAGCATCTCGTGTATGTACAGACTCCAGGAACGCCACATCCTTGATATCGGGACATATTGGCGAGGTGTGCAGTATATCTACACCTTCGTCTGCATACTCTGAAGCTCCAAACAACTCGCAGGTTCCACAGCGAGGCAGCGGGAGTGCAGTCCACGTCTGGAAGCTTGGGTGGTTCGTTTTCTCAACGTCGGTATGGAAGTGAACCGCTACATACAAAAAAAATTAGTTTAACGTCGAGAGCTTTGAGTCTTTCACACGTACCGACACGGAAGAGATGGCAGCTTAGAGTGTCCCTGACGATCAAATACAGATCCTTGATGTCTCTCATAGACTGATGAAAGTCATCAATAGAATAAGGAATCATCACTGTGTGACTCTGGGCCAAAGACCCAGAGCCGAGAGGTTCTGCTTTGAGCTCCAAGTGTACAGGATCACTGGCGCTTGTTCCGTTCACGAACACTGACCCCAAAAGCTCTGCCGTTCCTGGACGCAATCCACTGTTTGACACCTCCACTTCCACAGACACAAACGACAACGTCGAGCCGCCATCGTCGATAGCTCCTAGCTGCACACTCTTGACCTCCAGCGAATACACCGGCCCCGCCATACTTGCTAGATACAAATTGGAGTAATGGAGCTCCGATGACAACTGAGGAACGTCAGCAGGAGACGGCCAAAACCCAGGAACAGAGGCGACTTGAAAGCTTGGACCAACTTCAGGGGACATAGCGAAGATCCCGTGCACCTGCCACATCCAGTCGCTCGTCTCTCCGTTAACAGTGTACAAGTTGCTGTCTTTCCAGGACTGGCCATAGTTAAAGCCATTAAAGTGAGCCATCTCACGAGCTAACGCTACAAACACAGAGTTGTTGGGCTCAATGGGTTGTCCTTCAACCTGACAAGCGAACGGAAGGTTGAAGTACTTGCCATACGAGTGGTAATTGAGCGCCACGCTGAAGTCGGACGTGTTGCGCTCTACAACGTCGCGCACAGCTTGCGTTTCTGGCTCCGAGAACGCTCTAGGCCCATTGTAGTCGTCTCCACACGGATCATTGCTGCTTCCTTTACTGTCTCGCGCGAAGCAGACGTCATAGTTGCGATTCAGATCCACACCAGCGTCAGGAGGGCTTCTGTCACACGTATGAGCTCCACTCTTGCGCTGTCCCATCTTGTTATGCTCCCAAACACGCGCCATCTCGTTGTGTGCGTATCCATCCGGGTTCACGACCAGGATAAACCAGAGCTGACGTGACGTTAACAGCTCCAGAGCTGCCAGATCTCCGTTGCGATAGTCTGTGGTTAAAATATCGATTGTGTAGACCAGATTCTGCAATAATCAAAACGAATTAGGACTCTGCAGTGTATAAAGTAGTAAAACGACCCACGTACCATCATGGAAATTGGCTAGAAGGAGACAATAATACATGATTCACGTGAGTTTTGACATAAGTACTTATAGAAGAGTCAGTATTTACCTCGCGAGCGTGGTGCATGCCAGTGAAGAGTGCTTGAGGGACCATTTTCCCTTCAGGCGGGTCACAAGCACCCAGACAGAGTGCCCGTAGTGGTCGGCCTTCTACGGACCGTCCGAGGTCCTCCACTCTCGTTATAAGTGGGAAATTCCCAGCCACTTCGTCGATAAACGCGTCCACTTCGACCACCGATAAAGACCCCCTAACCGAGCCCAGACGCGGAGAAAATGCTGCGAGCCAATAACAAACAATGTAAGCACCCTATCTCTTTAAACTCCGCATACTAACGTACACTCCTGCGCTCTGCAGTTGCTGGAGGTCGAATATCGCGGCGCACAGTATGGATCTGATGCGTTGGCCGAGCTCAACTCTACCCGGTCTACCGATAGAGTGTCTTCCTCGACACTCAACTCGATAATACCGTGGCCATCTTCTCTCTCCTGTAGTTTAAACTCTTCCAATAGCATGACTCCATCCACATACCAGCGCAGCCAGTCGTCGTGCCATACGAACTCCACGTCATGGAACGAGTCTGCCACGTCCTATAAGTAACAGAGCCAGATTCTAAGCATTCCTGTTTTCTATCGTTATTATACTGACGAACCTTGATACACGGCAGCTTAACAGCCACCGCAGATGACGATCCCAGCAGGATTTCGTTGCTTGCGGCGGCTTGAGGGGATTTAATGGCCATTATGCGTTCGTTTAGCTGGGCTTTTAGCGTTGTCAGTGCGTTCTGTGGTTGATAATAGAGTGTTGTTATTAATTTGGCGTGTGTGCACTAATGAAGAATGATAGTGATTATGTACCGGTGGCAATTGTGTCCGCAATGAGAGCCGATGCAGCGTCGAGTTGCTTTTTAGAGGGATGGAAATCTGCAGCGTTGAGTTTCGGAGCTGCAGGGAGCCGTGTGCGACGGAGACGGCCGATGCGTCGGGAACTGACCATGTGGCTTGTTGCTGTTGTTGCAAGGACGATAGATTCGAGGCGGAGGAGGCGTTTGCCGCCCACACGCGAGTAAACTCGCACTCCCGAGTGCGATGGATCTCCAGCGTCATTTCTACCGTAATGAGACGTTTTAGCTAGTGATCGTACTTAGATGGGAGACTGTTAAAGTATCTGCTTAGGGAAAAGGGCTGCTGTTAGAGCATGGAACTGTATTGTTCAACTGTAAGTGACCAACACATTATGCACATGCTTGATCACTCCAATTTGGCGTCCAAGCGATTACAGTACGTGTATACGTACTGCATCCTCTCGGCTGTCTGAGTTCATTTGGCATGTTCGGGCAATGGATATCCAGCCAAAAGTGGATCAGTATCCTGCGAGTGGATACGGACGGATGGGCGATGGCTGCGGAGCTTACCACAGGATCAAGTCAGGTGGCGTATCACTGGAGTAATCTCCCGCACTTGGTCCGCGCTCAGCGCCTTGTGAATCAACCAAATTCATCACTTTCCAACCTAGGTTATTACTTTTGTAGCTCGGCCTTTCACTGATTATAACACAAAAGATGAAAGCCTCGATATTGTAACTGCAGGAATCGGTCTGAGAACAGCCCGTCCGGACGGATCTCCACCAACCTCCACTTTATGAACTCTTTTGAGATGGAGAAGATGAACACGCAGATGCTCGAAGCGCCGTAAAAAAAACTCAAGAGCTGGTCTGTTCGCCTGTTGCTGCACTTTAGCGCTGACTCGACCATCTCATCTCTGATTGGCTCAAACTCCATCCTCTAATCCCAAGCCATCTCTCTAATACTAGTAACCCAGTCCGCAATAAACCTCCACCAGCTCACTAAACGCGAGCAAGACCCTCTAACATGACGCGGGCGGACGCCGCCACCTCCCCGCGTGACGCCACCTCGGACAAGTTAGATAAAGAGGCCGATGCAGCGTTAGAAATGGCGCAGCAAGAGCAGGAACTGCGCTCTCGCGTCCAGGCCGTTTCTATGCGTAGACGGCCGTCGGACGACACGGACGGTGCCGAGAGCCATCGCTCGAGTTTAGTGTCGCACCACTCGTTCGCATCAGCGCAGTCCGCTCCTGCGACCGACTGGCTATTACGCAGTCGCAAGACCGCCAATACAGGCCGCAGTATCCGTCTAGCCAAGCAGCCGAGCTTCCGCGACCAATTCGATGAAGACCGGTGCAGTTTGCCCGCTCTAGACAGTTATCACGCCGAAGAAACGAGTAAAGCAGGCGTCACGACTATCGGGAAAGGTAAATGGGCGAAGAAAAACAAGGGGAAGTCCCCGTTTGACGTATATTACGCGCCGCAGTCTCCCGCGCCGTCTACAGTCCATTCCGCGCCCCGAACACGAACTAAAAGCGGTATATCGCATGTATCGGAGCGTAAAGGAGCCGTTCTAACCGAAGTGGGGGAACCCAACTTCGCTTTACCGGTGTTTCAAACAGAGAGGTCCCATCGTAAGGGGTTAGAGTCTTTCGACGAGAATCTCGAAGACGGCGCGTGCGAGAGGACCCCTTTGGACGCCATGCAGTATTTTATGAACGGTGCGCCTCATGTGTCTATAGAGGAGGCGCAGAAGTACACTTTTGCTATTGTTTTGAAGCACACGGAGCAGATTTTCCACTTATTAAAGAAAAGGTTCCCGTCTCGCTCGGCGGCGTCAATTCGCCGCGATCTACCACAACAAGTGAGTGCGTTACAGCAGAAATGTGTACGGCGCTTAATCCAAGCGGGACTGGGCGTGATTTTACTGGATAACGCGCTGTACGACAGCTATCTGGACGACCAAAGAGGCGTACACAGTAAACGAGACCCTAACAGTCAAGAAGAAGACGTGGCCAGAAACTTGTGCATCCTCATCGACCCAAAGAAGAACCCGGACTTGTTGTTACACGAGTTTAAACGCGAGTTGGACGAATTGTCCATTAAACGCGGCGACGCACTGGGAAGACTTGCCGAAGAGTCTTTAGATTCCTTGAAAGAAATGTGTTTCTCGCCGGCTTTGGAGCTGCAGCTGACGCATAATATCATCCAGAACGCTTTTAAAGACTACGACAAGGAAGAGTGGGTCATCGACGTCAACAAAGAGCTCACAGTTAAGGACGTGATCGTGGAATGCTTCCCGTTACACGACCGCGCGTTTAACAAGCAGTTTTTCGACGAATACCGTAAAAGAACGTTCGAGATGAACCTACGCAAAGCCGCAGCGGGTAACAGCGATCGCTGGGCGGTGGAGGAGCTGCGTCTTCACTTTGGCGAACGTGTGGCCTTCTTGTTTGCGTTCATGCATATCTACACGAAGCATCTGTTGCCACTCACGCTGTCGTGTCTGTGCTACTACTTGTGCTTCCGCTTTACGTCTGCACCCACGTGGAAGCAGTACATGGAAGGATTGTCGATTATTGGAGTGTCTGTGGTCTGCTTCTGGGGTCCTTCTTTCCTGGTGTGTTGGGCGAGAGAGACTCGGTTATTGGTGGAGAAGTGGAACCTGACCAAGTACAAGAACACGGTATACGAACGTAACGATGATAATCCGGGCTTTAAGTACGTGTGGGTGAAGAACCGACTGACGCACGAGATGGAGAAGATCCCGAAGCAACGCAAGAACCACTGGATCCAGCTGACGATGCTGCTGTTTGTACTGGTGTGTGCACTGATCCAGTGTGTGTGTCTAGTGCCGTTTATTCAGTGGTACGTGTACGCCAAGAACGCGCCTACTTGCGACGCCTGTAATGGCGATACAGAGGAGTCGTACGCGTGTATCTGGTTCATCACGTGCTTCAACTCGACCACGTCTGCTCTAGGTACCGATCGGTGGGTGTACATTCTGATCCAGGGCATTATTCTCGGTCTGCTGATTGATATCATCTTCTTCGAGCTGTTCAACTGGATGTCGGAGAAGTTTGTACAATGGGAGAATTACGCCAAAAAGTCGGACCACGAGAACCGACTTATCCACCGTCGCTTTGTGTTTGTATGGAGCAATTGGTTCTTCTGGTTTCTATTCATTTCGTTCGTCTACATGCCGTTCGGGGACACGATCCTCAAGCTGTTCCACAAGGTGGGGCTGGGCGCGCTGGCTCCGTACGAGTGGAACCCGAATCTACTGACTCTGGACACTCTATTCGTCACGCCGCTTGTGGTCACGCAGTTCTTGAACATGTTACTGGAAACGATCGCCCCGTATCTGCTCCGTAAACTGCGTGGTCGTCCCTCTATCGGTTGTCGCCAGGCTTCGCCGTTCACGTGGTGTGTACGTCACTTGTCACGCCGATTCCGCTTCGCCAAACAGCGACAATCCATGCAACCTGTGGTGAACTACAACTCGCAAGAGACTGCCAGTTCCTCGAGTGGTGATACTCACCCAGAACTGAAAGAGAACGACGCGCCAGTCACCAATTTAACAGCGACTCGGCTGGCTCATTTGGTACAGAAAGACACGAATTTCCACGTCAAGGTGCTGCCCATGTCGGACGACTCAAACAAGTATTCAGCGTACGAGATCTTGGCCGAAGCGAAGCTCCCGATCTTCGACCCCGTGCTGGATTACCTGGACGCGTGTATCCAGTTCTCCTATGTCATGATGTTCACGGTTGTGTGGCCGTTGTTACCGTTCCCTGCGTTCTTTAACAACATCCTGGAAGTGCGAGGTGACGCTTTTCGACTGCTATTCGCCAATCGCCGGCCAATGCCGCGACGTGATACGTCGATTGGTGAATGGGCCACGGTACTGGCATACGCTAACATTATTGGCGTTACCGTTGTCTCGGCGTTCGTGGTGGTGTACCATTACGGATACTTTGTCACGGATTGTAACTTCACCTTCAGCAACGCTTACGTCGTGCCGTTCGGGACGATCGAAGCCGACGAAACATCCGATCCAAGTGCTTGCGTGAACGAGAGTGGTTCGTCGCGATGGCGTATGTTCCACATTGTGTTGTTCGTAGTACTAGAGCACGTGAGTTTCTGCATGCGCTACTTGGTCATGCAGGTCGAGAAGACCCCGTCATCTATTCGTAGTTCCGGTTATCAACGTCTAAAGCAGATCCAGCACTTGACAGCTACCCCCGCTGCCCCTCCATCGCAACTGGAGTACGTGCAACGACTACGTGCATTGTTCGAGAAGTACGACGTCGACGGTGATGGTCATTTAGCGGAGCCTGAGTTGATCCAACTGCTCGCTGCCTGGTTGTGTAAACACCCGTCCGAATTGCTCCCGTATTCGGGTCTTATTTTCCGGTATATGGACAAGAACAAGCTGGGCAGAGTACCATTTTCCACGTGCTGCTTAATGATGCAACACGTGAACCACGACCGCTTCTTCTCGTGTCTACTGGGTCTGTACGACCCACTGAACGGAGCGTACAACGACGAGATCCGCCGTACCTGTGACCCCATCGAGCTACACCGCGTACTTAGCGAGGTTTCCTCGGAAGTGCAACGTCGTAGTAACATGAGCCGCGCATCGGAAGCCACAGACGCTTCACGACCGCGTGACTCGACTTTCTTCTACGTTGATAACTAAAGGGTTTAGGAGTTTTGCTTAAGAAAATATATATACACGTTTTAGTTATCGAGTGAGTTAGTCTGCACTCAGGTGCGTTGGAACAACGTCTACTCGTGAACTGTCAACGCATCTCAACCAAAGTGTGTAAGGAAAGAAAGCTTAGCGCTTGTCCGGTGGCTTTTTCTCGTGTTAATACACTCGACACGCGGCAGCGGATCGGTAGCTTTGGAGATTAGTTGATTAATGTTCGCGAGTGACAAACGCGACGAGAGTTAAGGACTTTGGTGGTAATGCCACGTAGCGATATCGCTGTTGCATTAATAGTCATGGGATGTGGCAGCACTTGTCAAACCTCGTTTGCTGACTCGCATTGCCAAATGCAGCGCGGTGCGACAAGAACACAAGCGTTTCAGGTCTAGAGTGGCGTTTGAAGCGCAACGCTAACAGCCTGGCAATCATCAACGATGTTTGAGCTCGCAGCGGTGTTTATGTGCTGTCAGTTTGATCAGACCAACTTCAGCATGAGCTGAAATCATTAGTAAGTCAAGTGTGCTGAAATCATAACTAATCAAGAACTAAGGAGTGAACTTAGTTCGAAAAATAATGTTTTTCCATGGTAACTCGTGAACCACAAATCGTGACACCTAACTAATGCATACAATTTTCCATTTTTCGGGAATGGGTTTTGGAATCTGAAACACTTCAAATTGGCCATTGGCCATTTTGACGGGCGTTCTTGAGATGCTACGTCAACTCCGAAGCCAATAACGATCACTTTTAAATGGCAGAGGTAGGTCGTTCTTGTCGTGGCGTCTTGGCCGCCAAGGTGGGAATTGGTTTCATAACCGTGCATATATACCTTGGACTTGTTAAGAGCTCCAAGCACAGTCAGAAGAGCTCATAAGAATCATCCCACTGAGAGCACTAAATATACTCACCTGTAGCCACCTTCCCAATCGTGCTTGGACTGTTCTCGTCTCTTGTCTTGGTGCTTGGCATCGCAACGGACTGTAAAAAAAAAAGCTATTTATTTCGACTTCACTGACCTCAATTGTACGAGATATTTCGCTTTGAACTCACTGGCATTAGACTGCTCGGAGATCATTTCGAGATTTCCTGGCTGGAGTGTTCACCGGATAAACATGCAGGTTAATAAAGCAGCAGCAGGTGCTGAAGTGTGTTCGCCGTCTACGCGTTGTCGCTACAAGACAGGGCGATGCCCAAATCCCAGGGCAGTCAAAGCGAACGGCACATTGCTGCTACTCTGCGAATACCACCGCAATCAACAGAATCGCACCAAGAAGCGGAGTGATATGAAATGTCGTCACGATCGCGCCAAGAAGCGTCAGGCTCAACGGGAGAAGCTTCAGAAGAAACAACTTCCCGTTGGTCCGGTTGGCCACGTGCGCAACACGCTTTGCTGGTCTCCGCTCGCTTCGATCATCGCACCGTCAGTCGACGACTACGCTATGACCATTGGAAGTCCATCGACTGGGCGTGATCAAGAGAAAACTCTGGAATCAACCAGCCCCACGGCTGTAGACCTAGATGTCGCGTCGATGAACTGGGCTCCACAGTGCATGTCCCCAATTGCGACGCCACCCATTTGTGTGCAGGAGGACAGCCTCGCCGCAGAGGATATTTGGCTCCTCGAGTACTTCATTCTATGACAAGTGGCTGCACTCTACATGTTCCCTAAATCCCTCGATCACGAGGAAGCAAAGACTCAGTACCATCGCAGTAAAGTAGAAAAATCGGCTGCACGCTAATAAACGTCCGTATTCAATCGTTAGAGTATAGTGTGACCTTTAAAATTAAGGTTACAATGTATAGAAACTCTAAAGTAAAGAATTAATGAATGCATTGATACCGAACATCCTTTAACTACAATCTACTTTCTACCATTGCGTTGGAACTGCAGCTTCTTACGGAGCTCTCTAGCAGCACGTGAGAGTGCCGGGGAGAAGCCAGACACACTGTCAAGACCTGGTGGAGGCACGTGGTACTCGAAAGACTGCGAGACCAGCACGAACGCTATCAGCAGAACCAGCACTAGCAACGCCAACATGTAGTAAATATACTCGAGGTGGCCGTCGTTGAGGTCACTAGTGACCCAGAAGGAGAAAATACTGTTTAGAGCTCCAGTCACAATAAAACCCAACGTGGTAGTGAGCAGATTGAGAGCTTGGCAGACACTGCGCATAGACTCTGGGACCTCCGAGTAGAACAGATCATACGCCGAAATACTCGTCAGTATCTCAGCCACACCCACAAGCACATACTGTGGAGTCTGCCACCACACACTGATCATCGACATGGGTAGACTTTCACCCGCAGCGCTGCAATTCGAGGGAATTCCCTCAATTACGGGACGACTCTTACGAATCTGCTCCGTCCACCCTGCTGCCAGCATAGCCAGCATCGCAAACACCAAACCAGCTCCAATTTTGCGCAATAGCGTCGGGTAGATACCCATTTTAGTGAGCAATGGATACAGTAAGCGGTCGAATACAGGGATAAATACCAGAATCACACCGGAGTCGACAATATTGAGCATCGCAGAGGACAGCAGCACTCCGTCACTTCCTTTAACTCTGAGATCCATTTGACAGCCTTGAACCACGAAATTCGAGTTCATCTGGCCGTAAACAGCCCAGAAAATGATAATAATCCCCAAATACGGCGCCAGTCGCACCACTTGCGCTGCATCCTGCACTTCTTTAGTCGAAAAAGACCCACCATTCGCCCGTGTTGCCAAGCGTAACCAATCCGTTGCAGCACCCGAGAAAATTAGCACAAACGTCCCGTATGCTACCGCTCCAGCTCCAATCAGAGCGACGGCCATGTGGATGAATTCATCTTGAATAAAGTACGACACGGTCGTGACTACAATTCCTGGAATGAACGCCAAGCCGCCACTGAGTACAAGTTTGCCACGTCTCGAGCGAGCGCCGGCCTGTACCAACACTGAAAAAAACTTGTTAAGTGCACTGCCTTTGGGTGGCACTCGACGGTATCGTTTCTTTCCAGTGTAAAATACCAACGCAGCAAGCACAAACGCCGCGGACGGGATGGCGAAGGACGCGAAAAACCCATAATCGGGTGAAATATACGGCGGAAGCCCATTAACCGCCAAGTTCGTTAACACTCCGTAGCTGAACGTGGCTCCAACGTTAATTGCCCAATAAAACCAGTTGAAAAAGCTGTCTTTTTCGGCGCGTTGAGCGGGGATATCGACGTCGAATTGATCCGCTCCAAGCACCACGACGTTGGGTTTTATTCCGCCAGCGCCAAAACCCACACCACCGAAAAGTCCCAGCATAAAAAGCGGTAGAGACGACACAGAGGGGAGTGATGCAAACACGCACAGCGCGAGTCCTGCGATGTATAGTGAACAGAAGAGCACGATGGTGCTGAAGCGACCCAAGTGGCGGTCTGCCACGTACGCGCCCAGCAGCGGCGTGAGGTACGACAGCGACGTGAAGGTCGAGTTTAACTCGGTGGCCAGCACTGTACTTAGCCCCAAATTACGGTGGAAAAAGATCGGTAAAGACCCAGACAGACCATAATACGCCAGACGTTCGCAGAATTCAGTCACCAGGATGAAGGAGCAGACGCTCACGATGATTGAGCGGTACTGCGGACGCGCTTCCAGCTGCTTGGTGGGGAGCAGCGTCGTCTTCTCCCCTTGTATCTCATTCGTCTTGCCATTGGGCGCCATGAACTTGTGCTCTCCACCGCAAAATCACGAATGACAATAAATGTTCTGAAGTAGCCGTTGAAATGAAAATGGATCCATTTTCACTTACAAAAGCCAAGTGTATGGCCGGTAGAGACGTTGATGACGTGAACAACGTGTGCAAAATCAATTGGCTACATTTGAAGTTACCCTTTCTGTAAGTACGAAAAGAGTCCACGCATCATGACCTTGGCTTCACCAAGCGCTTCGCCAGCGATATCACGTGCTGTACTGGTGACGGCTTTGGCGTTGTCCAGAGTGGACATAGCGAGTGTCTGGGCGTGTTGTACGGTGCCTTTAACGCGCTTGAGCTTGGACGAAACACCGAGTAGCCGTCGTACATTGGCCAGAAATGACACGGAGCCGCTAGCGTCCGGAAGCAGCTGAAGCGACAACGTGCCGTCTTCGTGGCCAGACGCTAGCAGGATCACCGCCTCCTTAGGACCAAAGCACATCGCAGAGATCATTGACCCAGTCGGAGTGGGTGAAATATACTCTTGAACTGTCACAAAGCTGTACGTACAGAAAATGTTAGATACGTCCAGAATAAATGAAAGATGATACGTACTCTTCGATGCGGCAGATACGGATGATACCGGGCAGTAGTGTGAGGAAGATCAAGTCTCCTTCAGCTGATACCTGTACGTCCGAGATCTCCTCGGACGGAAGATGATGCGACTGGATCAACGTTCCAGACAAGTTGAAGATCTGGACGATACTGGAGATCACGACGTTTTCTGTTACAATTCGCGTAACACTTGTGATAGCGATAACGTATCCCTTAACTGACAGTCTGACGCGCACCAGTTCGCCTTCTTTGTCTGCAGGTTCAAGCACGAATGCCACTTGTCCTTCATCGTACAGGAAATGTACCATCCCAACAGAATGTGTGCATGACGCAACAACCCCCAAATATGTACTCACGCAGCAGTCCACTATAGGCTTGGCATGTCCACGTAAGATCTCGATTGGACGCGGTGATACTCGAGGCAATCGAAACAGCATATCGGGCTTGACACGCGAGAGCTGCCAGAGTGCAAGAGTCCCGTCTTGAGACCCGGAGACGAGCAGCTCCTCATCTTCTTGCGAGGTCGAGACGCCAATTTGACTGTGACTGTGATAACTCCAGCGATCCAAGCTCAGACACGTGACTGCAGCGCTGTGTCCTACTACGCTAGCCTTACCAATCACGTGTCCATTGTCCAGATCCAGCAACCGGAAGTGCAGCGCGCCACTGCGAGCTCCTCCAGATACCAGTACACGTCCATTACGAGAGATAGCGACAGGGAATCCACGCGCATATCTGTGTAGATTTCGACATTCATCGTCAATGTGAACGGGGTCGAACACAGGGATCCGTGGCACGTAGTCGAACGGGGAATCGTCCCGAACAATCTCCAGTAACCAGGGACAATCGTTCACTGCGTCTTCGTCACTAACCGCAGCTAGCTCACTGAGCAATGTATCCACTTCACTATCACGCTGGGAGTCGGTAACAGACGAGAAGCTGGCTCTTCCGAGGTCCATTCCGTCACTAGGATCAGCAGCGAATGTGTTCAACGGCATCTTCGGGGACGCAGAGTCTGGAACAGGCTGCGGTGCAGGCTTAGGTAGTAGTTTCCAGTAGTAGACTTCAATGACACCAAGTTCATTGACACTAACGACGCGATCGGGGAGGATCTTCAGCAGTCTGATACCGCTCTGTGCAATAGGCTTCACAGTCGCCACAGGGCTCCAGTGTCGACGTTTTTCCTGTGCTATCGGTGAGAAGTCTTGGAACGCTAGTGACAGCGGTCGAGCGATATTACTGGATGGTCCACTAGAGCCCTCTTTGCCTGGGAATCCGCCACTAACCGGAGGACTTGTAAGTCCAGACACAGGCTTGCTTGGTGCTGCTGGGATCCCTAGAGTACTGCGTCTAAAGGCAGCATGTCGTGTAGGATGAGGAGTAGCGAAGAGCTGCATGGGGCACTGACCAAAGTGAGCGATCTGCAGCTCCATGGATTCCCTCAAAAACGGGTCTTCCACTTTATCCAGATCCACGACTCCATAGTACGTCAAGTAGTAGAACACATTGTTCGCTTGCAGTGACGCTCGTCCACGCTGCTTGTAGCCGAAGATTAAATCAATCCACAAATGCAGATGACGCGAGACGTACTCACTCTCCAGCGCTGCACGATGGATACGGATAAACTCCTCCGGTGTATTTGCCCACTTGGGTAGTTGCACGTCATTCACCGCTTGTTGGTCATGTCGCTTCCCCAAAGTGTAGCCATTTCTGTTCCGTAAAAAAGACCCGTCACTAGCGAAGAACTCTGGGGTTAACTCTTTAACCTCAGACATTTGAGAGTTACACATTCGCCAAGTCTCTTGAATAGAGAAGAACAACCGATCGGGTAGATCGAACGTGCCACCTTGCATCTTCTGGTGTAGACTAGCAAAGGGTTCCAGTCTAAAGAGGAAGAACAGCACAACGCCAGCACAAGTTGAGTAGTGTGAGCCGTACAGGAATTTGGGGATCACTGGGTCATCGAACGAGTGATACCGTTCCCAATACTCTTCGAGACGAGCAGCATTCAACGCTCCCACAGGCTTGGACAAGTCACGGAAGTTGTGTGGATCACTTAGATCCAACGTCGAGTCTTCATAGTTGGAAAGAATCCACGGAAATACTGGATACTGCGTCAAGTCATTGAAACTGCGTCCTGCGAACGTGTTGAGCGCCATGAGGTAGTCGAAGTTGCTGATCTGTCGGTTCTGCCAGGCTTTTGTAGTCGCTGCCAAGTGCGGGATCACGCGTCCGGGCCATTGCTTGGGAGTACTTCGAGGTAGGAAGGAATACAGCACGCGTACGAACTCATTGCGTCGTTGCTTGGTCGTCAGAGGGAAGTCGAGGAAATGGTTGCTACCATTGCGCAAGAAGATCTCGATTGCCGAGTCGCGGAGGCGATAGCGACGGAGATAAACGCCCACTAGATGGGTGTATTTCCATCTCCAGCAGCGATGTAGTCCCGGTGCTGTTTCATCCACACTGGTACTCGGAAGAGAGCGTTCATCAAAGTCGGTTGTGCCAGGTGAGATGGCTCCTACGCTCTGTGCGTTCTCTGGTAGTTCTTGTTGGGGTTCGAACACCACATGCTTGCTACAAAGGGACAAACGCCCAAGGACGATCCCCTCAGGCACTACACGTCGACACGTGACACTGGCGTACACTTGATCGTCCGGTGCAACGGCGATACCGGCGCCAGGATCCAGTCCCTTGTCACCTTGTCCCAACAACGCTGCCCCCTTTGACGCTGAAGTAGTCGACGAACTCGTCTTGCCATCTTTCGGACTGGCAGTAACGTCGCTCTTGTACTCGTCTAAAGACTCATCATCAGCAGAGCGTACTTCTACCTCCTCGCTCTTATCATCTGTACTTGGCACGTACGTATCTGCTAACTCAGACGCTGGGAGTGCCTCATCCGACGTGATGTCTCGAATCTCGCCGCCACGCTGTTGCGCTACCACTCGACCAACGCGTTCAAGAAGGTTCTCATCGTTAGACGAGCCCTCGTCATCTTCTGTATCCTTTTCAAAGCTCTGAAGGATCTCCAAGGGAATAGCCAGCGTTGTCGAGTGTCTGCGCTTATTCAACGCAGGTTTTTTCGCTTCACATTGGCCCTCAACACCATCTGCTTCCAGCGCCAACATCTTCTCATAGCTCAACTCTAAGTCTATATCAACAGTACGTCGTATTCGAGACGGGAACGGCGTCTCGTACAGTCCAAGTCGCCACATATGCGTCTTCTTTAGAGCTTCCAGTGTCTCTGGCGCTGTGTGCCTCAAAGCTTCATACTGATTCTGAGAACGGAAGGTGAACTCGTGCTTCAGCCACAACTTCTCCGTCCACTTCTGCTTCCTCTCGCGCTGGACAGAGAGCGCCGTCTCCGCCCGTTGTTTCTCTCGACTTGTAACATCCCGCAACGTTGCAAGCATCCGGTTCTCCTCGACTTCAAGTGCTGCCCACAGCACACGTTCACTGTCGTCAGCGTAGTCCACATTCGAGTATTTCTTGCCAGCTTCGTCTGCATTCGTAGAGTCTTGTGGCTTCTGTAGCTCCTTAGCAATCGGAAAGTACGGCACCATATCCTCCACCTCCTCTCGCTCATGCAACTCCGTGTCATTTATCGCCAACGCCAGCGCATCCAGCACCACTTCCACTGCTTGTTGCTCCGTTAATTCGCTCAGTTCATGCACCGACAACCCAGCGACTCCCAATTCTTCGTCAAAGGATCCGGACGTGCATATCCGGAGCGTCAGTCTTCGCAACAATACCAACAATTCTTCCTTCTTGTGTACGACCATCGCACGACGGAGATCAACCAACGCACGGAGGAACACATCACGTGTGGGCACTGACTCGTACACGCGCAACGCTGAGCCAGCAGTCAATTCCTGCTGGAAGCTCTGCACCAAGACTTCCACTACTCGTTCCATCATACTCTTAGCAGAGATATACGGCAGAGCGAACTGCAGTATCTGGAGACCGGGAAAGAGACCGACACGATGCAGTTTGTGCGTACTTTCAACCAATCGAGCGCAGACATCTAACACGGCGTTAAACAGGAAGAGCTGCGCATCAGACCACGAGTATTTGTCGGTCGATAACTCCAGCGGCTTCAGTGGTAAGTTCAAAAGCGATTCGTGAACCAGGAACAGCAAACGCTGCACATTCTCAGCCAATGTCCTTGATAGAATCGTCCTGCTTCTGGCCATGCGTTGTAGCACGATCCCGACCACACGACACGTCCAGTTCAGCGGCTCACGGAATAATTCGGAGCGGTCAACATGCGGCACTACTTGAGCCAGTGGAGGTAACGAAGACAGCGCAGACGAGTTGGGAGCGTCAGAATCCGAGCCATATTTCACCTGAATGCCCTTCAAAGCCAAGAGTAAATGCGTGAAAGATCGCCAGCCGTGAGGATTACTCATCGCCATGCACAATAATGACACAATTGTGTCTAGAACGAGATCCTCTCCGGTCTTGTTAGCATCAACACTGTACGCTCGACCACAGTTCTCATCGCTGCTTTCTTCGCTTCCATTCGAGTCTACGAGCTCCACACCAACGGAGCAAGTCAGCGACAACTCTAACAGCGCATCTGCCCAGCTCTTCTTCATCAATAGTAGCTGTTGCTGTAGATCTTCGTCTGTCTTCAGCTTCACGTTGATATCCATGAGCACCTTTTCTCTAAAATGTGGCGTGCTTTTCCCCAGTAAAATTGGCAAGAACGGCAGAATCCCCTTCAGAGGCAGACTCAGGATACCGCTGACGCCTTCATCAAACATATCTGCTACAAGCGCCTGACTCCTATCGCCGTGAACGTCCGCACCAACGTTCGACAGACTTCGGAGAGCAGTGAGACGGATGACAGACGAGCGCTTTTCCCAGGTTAATTGCAGACGCTTGCCCACGAACTGGTTTGCCATCTTAATCCACTCAATCAACCCTCCGATTCCTGTACTTAACTCTCCAGTAGCAGTGATAGTCGACGTAACAGCGATCCCATTCTCAATCCCGTTCTCGTGCGCTTCGATCGACTTGTTTGATGCTGCTGGTGCAATAGGAAACAGTAACGAGTCCTTTTTCGACGGGTCATTCATGATGATACTGTGTTGAACGCCTAATAGCCACGCGGGATCGAAGTAAAACTCCATCATAAGCTCCAAAAAGCCCACCGAAAAGCTGCCCTGTCCGTTTAAAACCAGCCGTAAGTGTTCTTCCAAACCGCACCACACTGTGCGTCCTTCGATAGACTCCAGCCAGTCCAACAGGTAGATAAATAACGGAACGCAAGCCATCCGAACATGGATCGAAACGTGCGAGTCCTTGCTGCTCTCGTTGTCCTCTGCATCGCTCCGACGATCATGCATCAAGTACAGCAAACAGTCCATGATACTCGAGCTAACCAGGGCGAAGCGCATGTCCAAGAACGACACTGCGAGTCGACGTAGCAATAACAGCAACGAAGTGCACACGGCCGCATCTTTACTGGTCATCAAGAAGCGAATCACAGCGCGAATATCGCGGACAAGAGAGAATCGGACTTGAACAGAGTGTAGCACACTCTTCCTGGCTGTCGGGGTCTTTTCTTCTGGCGTATTGCCGTCGGGATTACTGCTTGAAGCTGTCCCAGTAGCCGTCTGATCGCTCCATACAATGCTCTCAAGGTTGATACTGAACACACCGCCCTTACGTCCAGGAGCGACCATTATTGGCGATGCAGATGACGACGGAGTATTCGGCGACGTTGACGGTACAGATCCACTAGCAGAAGAGCCACCAGTGCCCGCAGGATTACTAGCACGGGCAAACGTAGTCTCCATGACCTCCTGCTCCAGAACTTCATGCACTTGCGTACTCTGGTTAGTTAGACACACCTCAATCACCTCGACTAAGCTCTGGATACTCTGCTGCTTCCAGTGATGGTCTTTGTCATCAGGTTCAGTAATCTGCTGTGAGTTCTGACTCGTCTCAGTATCACCAGAAGTGTGTGAAGAGTGAGGAACTGAATAAAATTGTCCAAGAATCTCCAGCATCTTAGGAACTGCTTGCATGTTGTTGAACGCTCTTGGATACTCGCAGGCAAGTCCGTACATCTGATGATTGTAAATGGATTGCGTCTTATAGTCCGCTTGCGTCCACAGTCGATAATTCATCAAGATAGCGCGCACTCCAGAGGCGAAAAGAGGGTTCGTCGTCCAAATGGAGACGTGGAAAGGGTGGTTCTCTCCCACATCCAAGCTCTTCTTGGGCGACGTCATCATATCGAATAAACTCTTGACCATTTCCACACAAACCATGAGACTTCCGGGCGTCCATATCACTGAAAGACAGTCTCTATGCTGCACCATGACGTGGGACAGCATGTGGAACACATAGTTCCGAAGAACTTCCTGTTGGTTGGCCACATTACTGAGCAGCATACCTTTCAAAATCCACAACAAATCGACCACCACACTCTCCATAACCGCGGACAGCGGGCGCTCCTCGAAGTCCTCGTTTCCTGCATACTTTGCGGCGTCTTGCTTCCTCGTGATCTTCTCGTACGCTGTCAATAAGTAGTCCAGAACAATTGGCAATGATGACACACCAACTGACCGATACCAGGCTGCGTGATACTCCGGGTAGATCATTTTTTGCGTACTTTTGCCCAGTCTGGCGTTGCGTTGCTGGATCTCCGCTGAGGCGCTCACAGTGCTTTCCAAAGCCACCCACTTGCCGTTAGTAGTAGGTGTTGTACCTTCACACAGCCACTCCACTCCTAAATCGGCATAGTCTTCGTTCACGGTGTTCTGTGCGTTGAAATAGAACACCACTTGTAGCTTACAGAACGCTGCGAAAGACTCGTTCTCCGGGACAGTCAGTGGTGATGGACCATGCGCGCGTTCGTGAGTGCCAGCGACCATGCGACTTGACCGAGCGGGCAGCGCTGCAGCCCAACGATTAAACGACGAAACCATGGGCCCTATAGCGTACATAAGCTCGATCGTGCCTTGTGAAAGCTCCTCTTGGTACATGGCTACACTTGCAATCTTCACCTTCGCATTACGACCACCTCCAATAGTGCACTTGGACGCTGTGACCAGTCCAGAAGGGTAGACTAATTCCTCTTTAAACTGCAGCTTCGTATCCACGTGACACGCCACTTTGCTCTTCTTCACGTAATGCAGCGAGTGCGAGATGACCAGCAGATGCCATTTCCCAGGTATTAAGTCAATTTCCTGTTGGATTCTCCTCCATTCCGGCGCGTTCGAAGAAGCTGCCGCAACTGACGCCGATTTCTTTGCATCTGCGGCTCCAGGAGCGCAACAACTGACGTTTAGCAGCACTCCGTGTCCATTTCCAGTTGAACCCTCTGTATACTCCAAGGACGCCTCCACTTCCAATGTATTTGACCCGTTCGTGAATCTAAAAAGATTAAATTTGGCGTACAAATCCTCTGCAGCGCCCTCCCTCTTGGCTTGGGCTAGACAAAAATCCACGTTGATCCACACTGCGACGGAATAGCCGCGGAAGGCGCTCCAATCTACAATAGGGAGATGCATTCGACCGTTATCACGGAAGGAGAAATAGGCCGAAGGAGGCACCACCCGGTCATGTGGAAGGACATACTGGGATTGACTGTCTTCTTGCTCTGCATTCTCGTCAGGAGGGAGCAATAACCGCTTGGCGAAGGTCCTTGAGAGCTTCTGAATGTCTCGAATTAATTGCTCTCTGTCAGTTGAAGGGCAGTCTCCGAAGCAGGCCAAAATGGACTTTCGCACTAGCTCGTGGGCAGCTTTTGAGGGCGATAACTCGCTCGGTTTTGGGGCTTCCGAGGTGATACTTGGCTGCTGTTCAGGCGTGGGATTTTGTTCTTCATTGTCGTCGTCAGAGTCACTCCTATTGGCGTGGGAGCCTCGTTGTTCAATATGTTCCATATTGGGAGGTGGATTACGTGCACTGGATCGCGATTTTCTCGACGGATCCAAACGCTACGGCGCTCGCAACTGCGAGGACGGATAGAGGGGATGATGGAGATGTTGTAGAGAGCGTTGCTGTACGCCGAAAATGAGCAGGGAAGGGGAAGGAGGACGCCAAAGTCGTCTGCGAGCCGAAGGTCGCTGTCGTGTCGATACCCTGGACGTTTTTTAGTGCTACTTCAAGATGTGGTACTGTCTTTTAGCACTTTTACACTTAAAGTGAGTAAGACACCCGAAATTCTGAGAAAATGAAGCATGCACAGATTCTGGAAGCGTTGTAAATTCTGGAAGCGTTGTAAACATCTGAAAAAGCTAGTTATTCCTGAACAACTGATAACCCAAACTTTCGGAGTCCCTAGTGTTTTACAGATCAGCCTTCTTGTCCACTTCATGCGGTAGTGTCCACATCGCCTGGGCTGATTCGTTAGATTTGGAGTGCTGCAGTAGATTCGCCGTCAGATTTGCCGTCGAGTTCGGAGCTCAGAACACAGTTACAGAGCGATTTCAGTGTGGCAACCGCCCGTGTGCATGTCTGGCAGCGGCTGCAACACGCACCAACACGTGTAGTGCTCATCGAATCAGACTGTTGGATTCGAGCTCCCTACTCGTTCTCCTTCGCAATAACCGATATTCACATCCTTGGATAGCCACTTTCGCGTTAGTGCAAAAGAAAAACCTACTTACCAAACCGGGGGAAGTGTCGAGCCTAACGGTAACATTTCCAGCATAACCTATATTTGCTTTTAATGAGTTTTCAAAACTGTTTTGTAACGAGGGGTTCATCCTTGGGTTCAAAGAAGGTAAATATTGGGATCAAAGAAGGTAAATATTCGTATTCTTCCTAATGTTACAATGGGATGTACTGGTAAGCATAAAAATATCAAGCATGGAGGCGGTTGGCGGTGGTCCGATGGCTTTACCACGCGATTCTCTCGTCGATGCGGCCTGGAAGGCGCCGCATCAGGCGCGCACGGTGTCGCTTCCACATGGCCTTGGTCATGGGGATCTTGGAGCCAGCCACGATGTTGTTGATGGCGTTGGGCGCGGCCAGCTCTGCTGGAATCTGTACGGGCGGTACGACTACGCGCTTAAGCTTGAGGAAACTAAAACGAGAGCGCTGATACTGTGAGGGCGCAGCCAGCAGCAGGTCTTTGAGACTTTGTGCCTCTTCCGGCAAGGGCTCTTGGTTGTTGCTGCACGTGATCAGAGCGGGGTCACTGGCACGTCGAATCTGTAGGATCTTCTTGGCGGAGGCGCCAGGCGAGCCGACGGGCGTGGGCTGAATGCCGCGGAAGAAGGAGCTCTTGCTTCCCGTACTGGTGGCAACCTGCGTTGTCCCGGTCATCTTCGATAATGAAGCAGAGAGTATGTCGCCAGAACTTCTACGTGGCTTTTCCGAGCCATCTGCGATTCAGTATAAGGCTAGAATTGCAAGAAGGTTGCCGCGCGCATCACTTTGTCTTTAACTTCAAGGAGGAGACGCCTCGGATAATTAATGCTTGTTAAGTGAAATTATCCTTACTGGCTGTCAGAAAAGGAGACAAACTTGTGGTATTTAATGAGTTCAGTTTGATATGAATTGAGAGCGGGGCGAGATTAATGCACAAACCATCCTGTGTGTACCACACCACAATTATCCACTTCAACAAAATCTTGAAACGTCGTTGTCCGTTGCTCACCGGAAATGCACCGAAAAGCATTGGTTGGCGATAGTTGGGAGGAAATCGGACGCTATTGCCCGTCGCCGCTACTGACGCTATTGCCTCAAGACCAAACTCGCATCGTAGGCAGTAGCATGAACAATCTGGTCGAGGCTCATTGTGCACAGCGTCGAAGATCTATCATGACAGCTGGCACGTCAGCGCAGAATGTCGATGGGCTCAGCTGCGAGCTGCTTCATCGATTTAATTACCTCGGTGACATGATATCTTTACGAGAAGTACCTATAACGACGAATATCGAGTTTTGACACAGAAGGCAGGTGGCTCGCAAATGAAGGTCGCTACCGCAACGCACTGGTAGCCTTATACGCTTCATGTAGCGTTTCGATTCCTAGTTTGTGATATCAAAGCTCCGTGCTTGCTCATAATCCATTGTGCATAATCGTAATCGTTCCACAACACCTATTAAGGCATCTCCCCAGTGTCAGTCGTTGCGAGGAGGCTCGGCATGCTACTGCAGTGCCCTCCCGTCGACGCTAGTCGCCTATAGCTGCCCATACCCGACTGTTCAAGCAGCTTTGCGCTCACGCGCCGAACATCTAAGTTCTCCAAGCTGGGACTCACAATAACGGAGCGTTTGGGTGTCGCGAGGGGCCTCTCGACCGCTGGCAGTGGTGCTAATCGTCGCTGCTGTGCCCTCCTACTCGCTACGGGAGTTCCAAGCACTGATGGAGGCAATGCTTGGAGACGCTGTAGTAATCAGCGTCAACAGTGTTCACACAATAAGCAATTCAAATGATAATTCTGCAATAGTCGTGGCTTGGTACATACCTTGAGAGCGTTGTTCCGAATGAAAACCTGCTCGAGTGCTTGGAAACGCATCTCTTCTTGATGCCTAGTGGCCAGCGCAGCAAGTTTAGCTTTCTTCGTCATTGCTTGGCGGTGTCTTGATCGTCCTGGTGATGTGGAATCGCCGCTACCTGAAAGATTTTTCTCCTTAAAGTGTTTTAGCTCCGCGAGATCTTCCTGGATTGATTGCGACGTGAAGCTGGTAATTGAATCGAGAATAAACCGTCGTCTCTCCATCGACAACTGCGTGTTAATCTCAAGGAATCCCGAACTCTGGTGCTGCACTTACATACAATAAATCTCAGTTCGATTCACTCCAAAGTAACTGAAGCCGTACCTCCATTTTCTTCGTGAGTTGGTGAAACATCACCTCGTGCTTCTGAGGGTTCGAATCCTTGTTGTGTCTAGTATGCGGTGTAAGAAAATCTACAAACTCCTGGAAATCGATCTGTCCATTAGAGTCCTTGTCCAACTTGCTCACAATCTGCTCGATCTCGCGTGTGTCATTCACAATGCCAATGGACAGCATGGGGTCCTCCAGCTCTTCGACCGAGATCTTTCCCGACCCATCCGTGTCCAGCGCATCAAACCACTGACGAAGCATGCGTTTCTGCTCCCCAGAGAATTGGAAACGCGGTTGCTTAGCATGCTTGGTCAGCCACGCGTTCTGGTCATAGCGCAGTAGCTGCTCCTGCAGCTCGCGATGCCTCGCGATCGCATCCACCGACGGAGCCGCTGATAGAGCCGGCTCGGCTTGCCACCACCATCTTTCCTGTTTGGCCTTCTTCCTAGCCCCGCCACCACGTCCAGCCACCGCCATCGACTACCTTGGTCGTAATAGTGCCCACCGACATCTTCAACTATATTTGTAGCCATGTGACGGTTCAAAGTTAATGCTACTTACGCGTCACTTCTAAAGCAAAAATAGAATTGCAGCGAAAGATTCATAAAATTTCATGTTACTTCACAATAAAGCTTTGAAAAATGAGCGCCATGAAGCGCGATCGCGAGTGGGAAGCGTCAGCTTCGACCGGCGATAACGCCGCCCCTGTGGCCGATGCGGACTCTAAACGGCCTCGCACCTCTACGCCGACATCTGGGCTGTCATTTGATGGTGTTTCCGTCTTTCACCGCCCCGTATTAGCGTCGGAACAGAGTTCTCAAACACACCCCATGGCCGTCCTGGATGCAATTCGATCCAAGCTACAGAGCACCTCCGATCCTCATTTACAAGCCCGTCTTCTGTTGCAATACAGCTCGGCTGCGGCCTCTCCAGGCGCGAAGACTGCAGCGGCCATCGACTTCCTCTTCTCGTTCTTACAGCAGAATCAGACATCCCAGACCGACAGGAATCAGACCAAGGACGCCGGTAACAACGGAGCCATCGTCGTAGGCGCCATAGTACGCGGACTCAGACAGCTACTCGCTGTCAAGGCTGCTGTGGTGGAACCCATGATCCAAGTGGACGCCATGGGCGAGCAGCTCATGCAATGTATGAGTGTAGGGGAAGACTTTAAGCTCCGTCGAGACATGCTGCGTATTGTCGTGGACTGCCTCATACTCACCAAGAAATACAGGCAAGCGAAAACTGTGCTACACACGTGTGTAAGGGATCACGACGCCGGAATGCAGGCCATTTGCCTGCGTGGATATCTGAGACTACACGATGCAGGACAGAGCTTTGATGAGACAACTTCTACGCAGACTGCAGTGGACCATTTCGATCGATTAGCTGGCTTTGTGCTGTTTGCACAGAGTGAGAAGGTGAGAGTGTTGGCTGCTCAAGTGATCGTGGCGTTGGCGGACCAACACTCACAAGATGAAGTGGAGAACAGCAAGTACTTTCCGTCAGCAGCTAATACGACGCTGTTTCTACCAGAGAAGACCTTCTATGTCTTGTGCATGGCAGGTAGCGATGCGTCTGAAGTAGTACGAGCGGAAGTTGCACGGTGTTTGCGTCGGTTTTCCCGTGTGCTTGCGAGTGACGTCGTAGAGCATGCTGTGGTTAAGACACAGATCGATGAGGCTGTGGTGGATGTAGCGCCAGAGATCGTGGAGATGAATACGCGTCGCATGATGTCGAGTGGCGTGTTGCTGTCGCTTTTGGAGGATATTGACGTGGATGTGGCTGCGGAAGCCTCGCGTACTATCGCCAGATTGGCTGAAGTGTCTACAGCTCCTGACGCTGGTACTGCGCGGTGGAGTCAGCGAGCGTTAGAACGTGCTATCACAGCCCATTTCGACGTTCTTCCACGTGCAAATATGTCCTGTACATCACAACTATGCCAAATGTTGGTGAACTCTTTACGCCGTCTATTGGTGTGTCGCCACAATCTTGAAACGAAGACCGATTTTACGATTTCTAGCGCAGATTTGAGCTCGCTTTTGCGAAGCGCTGTATCGGATGCAGACAGCGCCAAAGCCAATGTCGTGGAGATCTTACTGGTGCTACAGCATTGCGACTTATCAAGTACTTGGGCCGTTCAGCGAGTCGTTGACTTTATATTGGAGACAACAGCTTCCTCTTCGTTCGACAGCATGTCAGTGGACAGCGATGACGAGGACAACGTCGATTGTTGGGAGAAACAGTTTGTTGATGCAGTACGAGATCTGGGGAAGAAATGCTCAGCTGTGCTGAAGGTCGATGTTACGCTGACAGACCGTGTGAGGCAAGAAACATCACAGAGTGGCCAGCATCATCTCGTGAAATGCACGGGCAATGCTTTACTCGCACACATTGACCCTACACATATCGATAGCTTGGAGGCCACTAGCAAGCCTACTTCTACTGAGTCTACGCTGTTCTTTCTAAAGAGTTCATCCCCAGCACCACGTTGTGCTGGTTCTCACACATTCAGCGTGTCTTCTCAAGCGACAAACTCAATGGAGGTCCTACGAACGCCCCCAGCGGACGGGGACATCTCTGCCTCTCTCAAAGCGGTAAGCTCCCCAGCTTCAACTATTCTTTCACGTGGCTAATATCTCTGTTTGATGTGTAGGTCCAACGCCTTCGGACCGCATTTACAAAGGATGGGTTGGCTATTTCCTTCCGCCTTGCAGATCTCCTTGTTCGTCTACGCCAGCACGTGCATTCTTTCCCCGATGCCTCAACTGTACCAGCCCCATCACCACTGAAGTATGTGTCCATGTCGGCCATGCTCAGCACTAGTCCTAGTGTCAGCTCTACACACACGCCCAGTAACAGTGGAAGCCAAGAACACAAAGAAGCGGAAGCCTTCGCAAGTCTGCAGCTACCAACTGACCTGCAAAAAGGCTGCCAAGAGATGGTTGACGTCGCGACTGAAATCTACGTGAGAGCCTTCGCTCTGAGCTCGTCACCTCGCACAGAATTACTCCAGGTATCTTTCATACTTGCTAGAAATGGGTACTATTCGGACTAACACACCCCTTTTTAGTTGATCATGCTCGGCCGTGTAGGACTCGTGCTCGCGTTGCTGCAACGCTCCTCCGACAGTCTCCTGATAATTGAAAAGCTGCGGTGGGTAGCGAAAGAAGCTACTCGGTTGCGTCTTCTGGTCGATGACAGTCAAAAAAACGATGTTTGGTTGCCAACGCATTTGCTGTCTGACGTTAGCTCGTTGAACGATCTGAAGCGTGCGTTCGTTGCTAGCGTTCGTAAGGCGTGGCCCACAGCGCTCATCGAGGCTGCGATTGCTCGTTGTACACCTGCAACTGATGGATCTGGTGTCCACTATCGCCGCCTGGCTACTGCTCATGCATCGATTGTAGAGCCGACTGACACGACTGCCAAGCCGGAACCTCGAGAGATTACGGCGAATTGGCCGTTTGAGCAGCGCGTACGCTTCGTCCTGACAAATACGCGGGATATTACGCAGATATACGTCAAGAGCATGCTCCCCAATGGCGACGTTGCCTACCATCGTGTCCCGACAAGTTGCATCCGTGCTCAAGGTCCACGAAAGCACTCAGTCGACCACACGATCTCGCTGACTGTATCGCCGTTCTCGGACCCAACAGCATTCACGGTCGCAGTGTGTCTGGGCCACCCAACACTCCCAGGAAGCGTCAAGGTAAGTGAAATCTGCGCCACATTTTGTGAAAACGAGTTAACCAAGTATTATGTTGATGCCACAGTTAAGCCCTGGATCTGGAGAGATGTGTCCTCATATGTACGTAGAGATATCCTCCTCTGTTCGCGTACCGATTTCCCACCGTACAAGCTCCACACTAAGGCATGCGAGGTCGACTGCATGAATTAGACTGGCACTTTTTAAAGTGCTCTAGTGGTGTAAGAGTTCGTAGAGCAGAATGGCTGAAGCAACGCTGACGTTGAGTGAGTCCACGCGAGTATCTTCGTCCGTAGCTTGACCTATGTCATCGTAATGTGAGCTGAATGTACTAAACTAAACTATTGCTACACTTGAGCGTACCTGGGATGATGACAACGTCCTGGCAGCACTGGCGGATATGTTTACGAAGACCGCGATGTTCATTGCCCTGTTCGGAGCAATGGTAAAACAAATAAGGGTCGTACATTTTATGCTGCACGGACGTGGCAAAACCTACCATGACAAGGATCGTCGGCTGGCCATCAGAGAGTTTAGTAGACGTGATGGAGTTGGGTCCACTGCTAGCGCCAACGACACGCCAGCCGAGATCTCCACTGATCGCAAGCATTTCATGCAGGTTCCTCGCTTTCATCAATTTATCCTGTAACATTCCATTGCTCGTCAGAAATTATATCATCAGAATGAAACATTTGTGAACGTACATTGGCGACCATCACTTCCAGAGCACCGACCGAAGCACGCGAGACAGCAGGAGACAATGGAGCAGTGTTCCGGTCACTCACAACAACTGCTGAACAGCCCAAGAAGTGCGCAGAACGGAGGATCGCTCCAAAGTTCTGCGGGTCGTGGATCTCGTCCAGCACCAAAATCACAGGCGATCGTTCCGATTCCGTGAACTCTGCAACAGTAAATAAAATCAATAACAACAAGATAAACCACACAATGACCATTCCTCTCCAACCTGATGGCTCTGCAGGGACGAACTCCTTCAGTTGAATCGGAGCAGCGTCCAACACAACTCCCTGACCAAAAGATCACAAAAATTAAATATAACAATCCGATCAAGTTCACTCCAGAGGTCTCTCTTACCTGATGCGGCTTGTCGCCGGTGATGTGGTTAAGCATCCACTTGCTTGTCGAGTGAATCTGTATGCCATTGGCCTCCGCCAGCTCGTGGATACGCTCCAGTGCACGCACGTCCGCAGCGCTTTTCTTCTTAGGACGCTGGCCATCCAATAACGATCGCTCCTCGCGCACATACAGCGCGTGGGTGTCTCGGTGACCGCTTTCTAGAGCCTGCAGCACGCTATGGATGCCGTAAACACCCTCTCCAGCTAGTTGCGGGACGTCCTTGCCGTCGTTCGTGCGCGTGAGCGGTGGGCGCTCGTTGTCACGCTTGCGGCCTCCCCCACGGCCTCTTGGAGGACCCCAACGCGAAGGTTTAGCACCACGAGAACGTGATGGAGATTGCCATTGACCATCGGTGGAGAACAGGCACACAGACAGCAATCGAGGCAGCGTGGACGCCGCGCCACGGCTCAGCAACGCTGAGGTCCGCAACATCGCGACGTAATAAAGTTACAGAAGCTTCGCATAATCTATTAAATCTTAAGAGGCAAATGACCAACACTCACATTACTGTTTGCAATCTCTACAGTCAATTACCTCGTTTTCGTCATGAATGAATTTATCATAATTTGAAATTATATCAATATTGAGGATAGAAATGACCTGATTAAAACAAATCCAAAATATATATTATTGAAGGTAACTAGATATAATTGAAGCAGAGTACTGTGGTTATTATTCCCACCAATCGCACACTGACGACGTCATTTTGCTATTGGAGCCCAAGCATTAACGGAATCAAGCCCTCACCGCCATGGCCGACTCCTTCCCCGCGTGTGTGCTGTGCTGCAATGCCATTGACAACGCGTCCCGCTTCAACACTGTGGGTGTATGCAACCACCCTGGCTGCTGCAGCATCTGCGCGTTGCGCCTGCGTCAGCTTCTGGGCCAGACTTCGTGTGTCATGTGCAAGACGGACATGCCTCGCGTCATCTGCATATCGAACGAAGAGCAGACCTTCGAGTCCTTCCAGGACTGGGGGGATAATATCGGTCCCTCACACGTGTTTGACGAGGCCTCGGGCATGTTCTTCCTCAAGGAAGACTACACCAAGCGCATCCGTAAGCTACGGGACCCTCTCTGTAAGAAATGCGGCAAGAAATTCGCTACAGTGAACGCTCTCCGTACGCACGTGCTGGACGTCCACGGTGTGCAGTACTGCAGCATTTGTCTGGAGAACAAAAAGGTGTTTTTAGAGGAACTGGAGCTGTTTACCAAGGACCAATTGAAAAAACACAACACAAAGGGGAATCCACACGAGGGATTTATGGGTCACCCGCGGTGCGACTTCTGCTTTTCAAGGTTTTATTCCACCACGGAACTGTACGAACACTTGAGAAAGAATCACTTTGAGTGTGATATCTGTCTGTACCAGCTGAACGTGCAGAACCGATATTACAAGGACTACAACGACCTGGAGAACCACTTCCGAGCTGACCATTTCTTGTGTGAAGAGCGGGAATGTCTGGCCAAGAAGTTCGTCGTCTTCAAGTCGCATCTGGACCTACAGGCTCACATGACAGTGGACCATCCGCATATCAAGACGAGTCGCAAGATCGACGTCCACTTTACAGTCCGTCGGGCGTCCCAAGGAGACGAAGATGACTTCCAAGATCCGAGATTATTCGACCAGCAGAGCTCAGGGAACCACACGATCAATGTGGCTGATTTCCCGTCTCTCTCTGGATCGGACAGTGCTGCTGCAGGCCCGTCATTCTCACTATGGGAGAACCAGACGGTCTCTCATCGTCCTAGAGCGGAGGACTTCCCTGCGTTAGCCTCAAGCTCTTCCAACCAATCTGGATCGACGTTCCGCAATGCACTGGCACCGCCTCCTTCAGCTGCTCTACGTGCTCATATGGACAACAACGGATGGGAGTATGAGAGTCCGGACATGGCTTCAGCCGCTGCCGTTTTGGGCGCCAACAACCCGCTGCTTAATGTATTGAAACCTGCTCGTAAGAACAACAAAGGCAGGAAGAAAGGTCGGAAATCGGGCGGCTTGGAGGAGAAGCTCGCCACTCCTGTCGTTCAGGAAGAAGAGGAGTCAGAAGAGGACGAACTTGAGGGCCCTACGCCGTCCAAGACGGCCGTGGTGCTCAAGATCCGCCAAGTTCTGGGCAGCGACGCCAAGTACGAAGTGTTCCGCGAAGACTGCAAGCGCTTCCGCATGGGTGAGACTCAAGTCCCGGACTTCTACGCCAAGATGCGTGATATGTTCTCGCCTACAGATTTCTCGCAGCTCTTCCTTCCACTCATGAGACTTTCTCCTGATAAGGAACAAGTGGATACATTTTTTGCATACCACAAGCAAGTAAGTAAACAAGCCAAGTCCCAGGGATTCCAGGAGTCCCAGTCCAAGCGTAACAAGAAGGCTGCTAAACAGGCTGAACTGGAACAGAAGGCGCCCACACCGCGTCGTAAGAACCAGCGACAGCCACCGCAGCCGTCGCAGTCTGGGTGGGGCAATGCTCTTAAGGAGAGCGGCGTCAAGACAGGTAGTGGTCGCAAACCAGCTGCCATTGTGCACAATACGAACATGCGTGCAATGTTAGGACGGGATACTCAGCCTACGACCCAGTGGAGCTCGTCTGGCAGCTGGCAAGCGCCTCCTCCTGCAGCATCCAGTGCGTCTGCGTACCCCGCTCTGGGGCGTACCCCTTCGAGTACCAAATTCCAGAGTGCTCCTAGTGAAGCCTTTGCTAGTCTAAGTGTATCGTCGACTCCATCGTCTGGATACGGCGCCGCAACTTCGGCGTATGCATCCACGCCGACGCCAGTGCTGCGTCAGATGACGCCACCTCCTGCTGCGCCGAGTTTCAAGGCTGCAAAGAGCGATTTCCCTGAACTTCCCAAGGCTGGGAAGCCCGTTGGAGTGCAGCCTGTAACACGCGCAACGTGGGATGATCAGGTGCAGGCAATCGCGCAGAACCGCGCTTCAAACGCTCCTAACGGAGGCCGTGGCAATGGCAAGAAGAAACAGAAGAAGAAAAGCATGACGCTCCAGGAAATGGCCATGCATTTCGGTTAAAATTGCGGTTAAAAACTTCAATAGAACACAAGGACCCTCTAGCAGTATGGCTTCCATTGTGCAGCTAGTTAATGCCCAGGTGTGCCATGATCTTGTCGAGCTTGCTCTCGATCGCTGCTAGCCGTGCCTCGACGTTGTTGTTTCCGTTCTCATAGCCTCCAGACAAAGGCGTCTGACGTGGCGTCGACGGGGCCGAACTACTGCTGTTATGTGCAGGCGGGACCGAGCCACCTCCGGATTTCCGCGCTGCAGCCTCGCGGTTCTTGCGCATAATTTCTGCAAAACCTCCGGCGCCATTGGAGGCGCTACTAGCACCACCACCACCACTACTGTTTTCTCTCTGAATACCGGAGCTTGGCGTCTTCCTTAGGTTGCCTCCTTGCTTAATAGCCGCCATCATGGCGCCCATGCCGCCTCCTCCGCCCATAGGGGGACTAGCAGCAGGTGCAGAACCTCCGGAACCAGATCCAGCGCCAGCGCCTGCTCCGTCGCTGACGCTACCACTTGGATGACCAGCAAACATCGTCTTCTCCACTGTTTTGACCTTCTTGAGCTTGGTTCCCTGCTGGATTTGAGCCAACAGACCGCCCCTTCCTACCCCTCCAGTTGGAGCTGGAGTCGAGGAAGAGCTCCCAGAACCTCCGCCAGAGCTGGATTTGTGGTGCTTGGGGGGCGTTTTACTAGAGGACCCGGAAGGTTTGGTCCATGTCGTCACTTTCGTCTCCGGGTTGTAGTAATATTCCTGCAGGCAATGAAAATAAAAAATAGTTAAGCGTGGGGGCGTAGGGATGTTATGATACGCAATCACGACGTCAATTGGCAACGTTGGATGGCGTGTGAGGTGTCATTCAATGCGCCAAAGCAAGGGGGTTATGGAGAGACAGCTTACCTTGCCATCCTTGGTCTTGTACGACAGCCATGGAGCGGGGAGCGGCATGGTGACGTGTTTACGCTTTCTCCCTGCAATTATTCTGAGAAAAACGTGAACTTCACTTTAACTGTGAAAGACCCAAACGGTTTACTTATGAGAGACCCAATACAAGGTGAAGTTCAAATATGAGGACCCAAATAAGTTGCACATAAATTCAAAGAGATCGAAGGTGAAGCGAAAGTTGAAGCCAGGTTTCTTCACTTGTGAAAGTGAAAGAAACCTGAACAGCTCAACACTAGCGATATGCCTGAGCCTTTGACGCCGGAGCAGCAACAGCACGTTGTCTGGTGCATTCTTCATTCGCCTCGGTTCCGATTTGTCAGCTCGGGCAAGCTCAACTGGACTGCGTTGAGCAAGCAGCTCAAGTTTGACCGACGCATGTGCATGACGGCATGGCACAAATACCAAGAGCAACATGGTCTTGCTGATATTCCAGCGGTTCAGCCTTTTCCCAATAATAACATGCGGGAGGCGAACCAGCCGACGTGTGGGCATGCCATCACACCACCTGCTGTCTCGGTGCCTGTAAGCCCGCCCCAAGAGCAACCTCGTCCTACTCCAACCCCGATCAGTGTTGCGGTGGAAAGGATCCCCACGGAATCTCTAACTCTCGAGGAAATCCAGGATAAAATCTGCTCTCAAATGGATCAGACAAAACAACGTGCGTGGGCTGCATACTCGGAGTTTAGCAACGGTGTTCTGGCCAGAAAACTGGTTCAATTAAATAAAAGAGGCATTGATGTCCGAGTGTTCCTCCACTCGGAATTGGCCACGCTCAAGGCGAGCGCGTGGGCGATCTACATACTGCGAATGGGAGGCGTGCAGGTCCACGTCTTCAATCAAGACGGATCCTTCGTGTGGAAAGCTATGATCCTGGACGATGTACTGATGCTCGGCTCTGCCGACATGACAATCGCCGCGTTCCAGGACAATATCGAGGATCTGTGGTTTATGACAGGCGCGTTTGGTACGTTCGTGTGATATTGTAGGCGCTTTTTGAGCCAACAATTGATTCACCCACATTGTTATATACAGTTGAAAAAAAGTACACGGAAACGTACAAGAGACGCTGGGATATTCTCTCCGAGGAGTTCACCAAGCGCTTTGTGCTCGTCAAGGACCCGGTGACGGCAGAATTTGACGTGCGCATCATAGCCAGTATCGAAGACGATTGCGTGCTACACCCCCATCTATCCACACCTTGATTTTACAAGGCGTCGGGCTATATCCGTCTTCGTAAACTGATTGCATTGAGCGCAGTAGGCTTCAAGAGAAAAAAAAACAGCAACAAAACTCCAGCTGATAGGGACGAAATAGTAAATTGTTGGACTTGCTGAGTAATGAAATTAAAATACGGACACTTCAACGCTGTCCCTCGAAGCATTATGGTTTAAAACTTGTACTATTCATGACTTTGTTGCCGTGTTCATTATCGTGGATTGTTAATATTTTTTTTTCTTCAATGTAAAGCTCAAGTTGATTTGAAACGTGGATTTTGGAGGTTTGTATCTGTCGAAGTTGTCTGCGACAAGGGACTATGTACTTCAAACACTCCGTTGGCTCGTGCATACCTGACACTTGCAATGAATCAAATATCGGATTCTCTTAATTCAAGTCTATATAAACTATCTGACCTAATTCCAGGTCATGTTCGAATACGACCCAAGAAAAAAAAACTGCCGACGTCAAACCTATGGGTTCTTTTGTTGTTTCTCGCGCCTTCAAACAAAAAATGTTTTCTTCTGAAGACGCAATATTTTCCGCTACTTGTTTAGGATCCGCCGTGATATTGTCGAGGACCTTAAGGAAAGCCTCGAGGTGGGTTTTGATAGCAACAGCATCGCGGTCGAACCGGAGTAACCAATTTAACATAATCCTCTGGTGCAATCTCATGTCTCTGCATGGAGGTAAACCCAGCAAGAATTTCGAATGCTTGAGCATTTTTCTTCAGTTTTGCCGTCAGTTGCGAGACAAACCTGGTAACGTCAACAGGAAGTCGATCTTTGCCCCGCTGCAGCTCCTTGATAAGTGCAGTGTCGACATCAACCCGATGATTCTTCTTGAGTCTCGAGATAAATGTATCAACTTTGACAGCCACTATGTCCGGTTGGTGGCCTCGGAGCGGAGATGGCGACCACCGTTGCCAGTGCTATTGATGAGTGTGTAGTTTCTCGGCACAGTCGAAACTGGTGCCGTACGCACCGAACATGGTCACGAGCAGAGCTATAAATATACTGAAGCGCATGGTAATTACAACGACTGGAATAGCTTGAAAAATATATCACGAGCGCTCCTCTACCGGGTTATACGTTGCGCAGATTGCGAAATGAAAAGGCAGTTTGCACCATCTAGTCATTGGTTGAACAGCACCAGATTCTGGTGATAATGAGCACAATGAACATCCGCTACAAGGACGCAATCAAATCCACAAATTCGCTTTTACAGTAAAAGCTCACAAAGGGTATCAACATACTGTACACTATATTGTACTGCAGTAGTATTACACTGTATTACGTGCGCTTGTCTGAACAGAAAAAAAGTGGGCGAATTGACTATTAGGGACCTCATCAGACTGGGATAGGAATTTTTGATTGGATCAGAGACGAATCGTAAGACGATTGTCGGTTTCGTTTTCACCAATACCCTTTCCACCCTGGAACCTCCTTAAAATAACCTCAGTACACGGATCTTTTCACACCTGTCCGCCAACAACTCGGTGGACGCCTTCGTCGAGGTGTGAGATGCAACTAGATTTTTTTTAAAAAATATATTACCCAATGTCGAACTCAATTAATCTGAAAAGTGGATTTTGGGATTTTGTATCCGTCGAAGTTGGTGCGCTTTCCCTTGGGTAACTCTTGACGAAGAACCTCCAGACCCTTTTCGATGTTGTAGTGATCGAGTTTTACATGCGACGCATACGTCTTAGAACCTTCGGAGCTAGCCGTACTGTTCATCATCTTGTGGAAGTAGCCATATGGTGTGCTCTCGAACTCGCCCTTGGACCAGAGTTTCACGTCCAGATTGTCGGAGCGACCGAGATTCTGTCCATTCAAAGATGGAAGATCTCCCCCTCTTTCGTTCGACATGCTAGCGCCGTTCCGAGCAATCGTGTCCTCTTCTTCGCGTCGACGAATGACTCGCTTCACTGGATCGTCCACTTTCGCTCGGTGGTTGATGAACTTGGCGTCACTCAGCGGATTGTACTCGCTTGCAATGATAATATCACGAAAGAGTCCACCTTTTTTGTTAGTAATATCCAGGAACTTCTGATATGCTTCAGCTTTTTCATCACTATGTTGTTTGCCGTCCATGGTCTGAACTTTTGCCAATATAGGGTCGTTCAGCTTGTGGAAAACGTCGTTGGTCCATTCTTCGTGCATCCGAGAAAACTGACGAGTCTTGGACTGCTGCTGTAGCTCTAATTTTTCAAGTAACTCCTTTGCGAGGATTTTCCCGTCCTCCACTTCTTGCTGGAGCTTTAGAAATTGACCCTCTTTCTTGCTTTTCTGGCGCTGGATGTTCTCCGCAATGGTCTCGGCGATTTTTTTCTGCATTGCTTCTTGCTCTTTCATGTACAGCTCGTGCTTCATGGTCATTCGTTTCTGTACGAATTCAGCTTATCAATTCAGAAAGAGAACAAGCAGTTAATTGTTTGGATGGATTCGTACCATGTGCGTCTGTTTTGACAGTGTGGAAGCTGTTATTTTACCCTTCGTGTTGGCAGGCGAGGCTGTCGAACGCGACCTATATTGATAGATAGTTACATATCAATGGCGAGGGGATTCTACACACAATGATACAACGTACTTTGACGAGAGAGAAGAGTTGCTCAGTGCACTTTGTCGGAGCTCCTCAAAGTGCTCCGAATTGTGTACACGGATGCTCATACTGGACAGGAGACACAAAGTTTCTGCTTCAGTTGCACGTGTACCCAGTCGGCGGACGTCCCGATGCAAGAAACGACGAACTTGTTGTCGAGGCAGCAGATGAGAATACACTTAACGCCCCAGCGCTATATTTATCATCGAATAGATGCTAGAACTCCAAGAATACCTTTTTGCTCGAGCACAGTTATGAAAAATGCTGCAACGCACGACGCCGTTCTAAGATGAGTAGCGTTCTCCACATCCTCGTGGTCAACCCTTTGTACAAGGGATCGCTAGTCAATGGTCTTGTATCATTCGAGCCGTGTGTCGCAGTATATATCTAGCTGCGATCCTGATCATGAACATAGCAAGCGATTGTCTGTGTTTTTTGCCCGAAAGCTGCTAATATCACTTCCAAATACACAAAAAATAAGGTTGCATGGACAGCAGGGTTTATCTGACGTCAGACGCTCAGATTTCGAGCACTTTCACACGTGGAAATAAAAAAGAAAACTGGTTTTGGCAGAATAGTTATGTTTTGCGGTCGCGCAAACCACGGTTCAGTCACTGTACAGTGTGGGTGACTTAGACTCTATAAAGCAAACGCATATTGAGTGATTCAATACAGGTGTACTGAACAGACTAATTATTATACGGTAACCATTAGCTACTTCAAAATGATGCGATCATAAAAAAGATTTTGGCAAACGGAGCGAGGCCGCGGACAAGAACTACATGTAGATCAATCACGAGTAACACTGTATGCACTAGCTCGTAGATCAAGAGCCTGGCGACTGCAGCGTCTTCTACAGGACCCAGCATTAAAAAGAAAAATAAAGAATCGAAAAAAATAAAGTCGCTAAGAAATGTGTTGTTTTTGGCTACGTGATCTGGTCATTCGGCGGTGTTAAAAACCAATGCACAACATGCAGGCACTACTGACTTCACGTATTTCACCGAACCAAATTATCATATCTCCGTCCCAGACATCGAAGAAGCTTGTATACATCGCTGACGGTCAACTTTCCAAAGATATCGCCACCACGATACCGGTGAACTAGTGGAGGTGTTGCGACGCCTACAGGTTCCTGTTTTTCGCGATTTCAAGCAACTTGTTGGCCTCTATTTTTAGACGCAGCAGTTCCGCCATTTTTTTTAGGATCCGGCATAGCACTGTCGAGGGCCTTAGAAAGACCGTTCATGTGGGTAATGACAGCGGCCACATCGCTGTAGACTGGAGTAGCCAATTTAGCAGTTCTGTACTCTGCGATATCTTTTCTCCGCGCAGTGGTCAATTCAGCGAGAGTTTTAGAGGCTGGAGTATTCTTCTTCAGCTTCGCCGTCAGTTTCGAGGCAAACGTAGCAACGTCACTAGGCAGTCGATCTTTGCCCTGCTATAGCTCCTTGGCAAGTGCATCGCCGATTTTAACCCCATTACTCTTCTTCAGTTTCGAGATAAATGTATAAACTTAACGGCCACTCTGCCTGGATTGAAAACCTCCGAGCGGAGACGGCGACCACCGATATCAGCGCTATCGATGCGCGCGTCGTTCTCGGCACAGACGAAACAGGCGCAGTACGTGACGAACGTAATCATGAGTATAGCTATAAAGACGTTGAAGCTCATGAGAGACTTATTCAAGTTTGACGGACCTTAAGCGTTTGTTGCGTTGTAATGACACTGCACAATTGCGATGTGAGATTATTTTTTATTTGGGCAAGTATCCTCTACAGGGTACCATCTTATTTTTGGTAGGTGGACAAGCAGGATTAAATTCTATTAGTCCACATTTCTATCTTTAAAATAATTATGCCTAAAATTGTAAGCTCTTCCGTGCTATAGCGCGGAAGCGCCAATCAATGGAGATATGCTGGTTACACTGCGCGACAGATCACATCGGACACCCACTTACGGTGCTCTAGCGCCGTCAATACTGCGAGTTAGGCCATATTATTTAGATATATGCGAGTTGTTGACAGTAGGAAAAGCCTAGTAGCGCTAACGAGCGCAGATTCGGCCGCTGTGGGGGATCTCCAATACAACTTTCCACTTTCAGCTCCACGACAGATCAGATCGGACAATACAGACTATACAAAAATCAAGTATATTTTAAAGCTTTGTAAGTCATTCTATCTCCATTCTCGGCAACAACCGCTAAGCAGCGACGCGGCATTGACTCTACCAGTGACTGCAGCAAAGCGAGAGGGATGGAATTCCAAGCTTCGAATAGGGCTTCTTTCAGATCACACACCTTGTCGAATTGCTTACCGTTCCTGTAAACGCACCGGCTCATTATTGACCATAGGTTTTCAATAGGATTTAAGTCGGGTGACTTAGACGGCCAGTCGAGCACCTTGACTTTCTGGTCCGCAAAAAAGTCCTTAGTGCGGGCTGAGGTGTGGATGCTGGCATTATCTTGTTGGAAGATATAGTCTAGACCGTAGTTGGCATGTGCATAGGGAAGCAAAAACTCGGACAACGTGTACACATAGTCGTCCGAGTTTTGCTTCCCATTCAAAACCACCAGCTGAGACTTTCCCCGCCCACTAAATGCAGCCCAAACCATTACCGATCCTCCCCCTGCTTGCCTTCTCTTGGTCCTTTGGGGAGGACGGCGTAAGTCCCTCCAATATTGCTGAAAGCCGTCGGGCCCATCGAGGTTCCATTTCTTCTCATCAGAGAAGATAATGGAATCCCAATAGGACCCGACGTCTTTCAGCAACAGCTTCTCCGTTGCCCACGTGAAGCGTGCGGCCATGTCTTCCGGCTTCAGCGGAAGCGTGTTGACCATTTTCGTGAAGACCAGCCAGTCGACCCACAAGAGGACGCGCTGGATGGTCCTCACGTGCACGCCGAGGCCCAACTCGGCTTTCAACTCCGCCACCGAGTGCTCACCACGCAATGCAGTGCGCACAAGACGCCTGACCTCGCGGTCTGTCAGTGCTGGGGGCGCTCCTCTTTGTTTGGGGGGCTTCGCGGTCTTGCGTGCCTTGGGTGGAGGCTTGGGAGCCAGTGCACGGCAGATGGTGTCGGGGCTGCGGCCGAGGCTGCGCGTGATGGCGCGCTTGGAGGCTCCAGCCTCCCCCTCTCTCGCTCGGTTAATGGAGGCTTCTTGGTCTTCAGCATCTTTTAGAATGAGCCATGCACTCCACGCTCATGGCAGCCACCCACCAGGTACACGCGCTGCAGCCACAAATTTTCAGCTTTAAAACATACTTGATTTTTGTATAGTCTGTACTGTCCGATCTGATCTGTCGTGGAGCTGAAAGTGGAAAGTTGTATTGGAGGTCTTCCACAGCGGCTGAATCTGCGCTCGTTAGCGCTACTAGGCTTTTCCTACTGTCAACAACTCGCATATATCTAAATAGTATGGCCTAACTCGCAGTATTGACGGCGCTAGAGCACCGTAAGTGGGTGTCCGATGTGATCTGTCGCGCAGTGTATACCCAAACTCTTACATATTTTTTTGTTGCAACTAAACTGGGCGAAAATTGGATTCGGGGTCCCTTTGGGACTACTAATGGTTTGTATCGCCGGCAAATGGTCAATTGTTTTTATCGGTGAATCCTGAGTGAATAGGTTCAAAAGGCGCGTTGTATTGTGGAAAAATACTCCCAATGGAAAGCGACTACCATGGATACCCCGATTCACAACTTCAATGTTCGCATCGGTTCGCAACAGTGTTTTGACAGTAGCCATGACTACGATTTCCGTCAGTTCTCTGATGAAGTAAGTAAGCTTGGTGCTATCAACTGTGATCTTACCCCTGAGCTCGTAAATGGTCTTCTCGACTATCAGACGTGGTCGCTAACTAACCGTATGCTAATTGCCGACGTCAGTCGTCTAACGGAGAAGGACGTACCCCAGGCTACTCAGATTCAGGGTGTCAATGCTGGTTACCAGGGTGTCAATATGTTGGTATTGGTTATTAGCGAGCAAGAACTAACCTACGACCGTCTATCGGGTGAGGTTCTTGATTTCACTACGGCTTAACCCCACTGTTACCGGAATTCGGCCTCTGAACCACTATGATTTCGTCGTAACTTACGACGGGAAATATATGCTAGGGTTTGTATAGAGCTGTCCTTTTTCCACTGGGGAAGAAGCATAATGTCTGAGAGGTTTTATCTGTCAATGTCGTATCACTTACGACGTACGATTCCTAATGAGCAACGCAATGTCGTAACTTTCGACGCTCATTAAAAAGGCAGCCGCTGTAAGTGGGATAAAGTCGACAGATGGAAGATCGTAGAGATTTGATATCCACAAAGCATGAACAATACGGAAGGAAACGCGCAGGTAATCAACGAAACGCAAGATATCATTCACGTACTTGCTAGGTATGATTCATGCCACTCACTATCCAATTTGCACGACTGCAGTCTCGCACTAGTCGCCTTCTTCGTTGTCAGCGGCGTCACCGTCCTGAAGGAGCTCACGTCGTGTCCTCTTTCGCCGACCTGCCTTCCCTGGACGCCGCAGAACCACGCGCTTACCGAGCGCCTCAGGGATCGCGTCGCCCCCACCAAAATCTTCATGCCATATCTGAAAGCATGTCTTGGCGACTCCGTTGTACTCCAGCCGCGCTTTCGGGCACAAGAAGCACTTGGCTTCGCCGTGCGAGCAGTCTTCGCAGAAGAACCTCGTCTGGTACGACTTCTTGCGGTCTCCTCGAAGGAGGACACACACTTTGCACGACCGTTGCCTCCGCTTTTGAACGCCCGAGACCGTGACCCAATCGTCAAACTGCTTGTGTGCATGTGATGTCTGCCGACGGCGCTTGGGCCGGGACTGCCCAGCTGGCAAGGGGGTGTCGCTCGTTTGGGTGATGAAATCTTCGGGCTTCATCTGCAGCAACTGCTTGTGGAGCGTATTCATCCAGTCCCCTCTCAGCATTGGCGCCACCCCTTTGATTCTGCATGCCTCCTTGTGCGAAATATAGGCGTTCACCAGACCCATATCCACGAACCCCATGAACAACGACTTGTAATACTTGCGGAAGCGGAACGAAGTCTGGATGGAGTAGGATTGGAGGCGGAGTTGATCATGCACCCTAACTCCCCCCATATATCTCTGGTAGTCCGACACCAGCTTCGGGCATGTTACCACAGTCGGGCCCACCTGCCTCACGTTGCGATTGAGATTGTCTTCAGCCATAGATACCCCTGTAGCCAAGTAGTGTACCGGTTTGCGATCCCACCAGGAACACGCAACCATGGTGGGGACCGCAACACAGCGTGTGAACTTGAAGCTGCCCCGCGCGATTCTTCTCGGCCGGCTCCTGCTCTTCTCGATCACTTGTTTGTCGTACCCGATACGGTTTGTCACAATCGTCCCAAGAACGTAGAGAGACATCGTGAGCAGCTGGAGTGCCAGCGCGACCGACGAGTAGAAGCGATCGATCACAATCAAGTGGAAACCACTCGTGTTCTCTTCAAGCAATATCCTCATATTCCGAACGACTGCTGCAGCACCCGTCTTGTTATCAACTTGTGTTCTCTCATCGTTTTCCCGAGCTCCTAGATACACTTCAAACCTACGGCGCAAGTTACGACGTTAGTGCAGGAGATACGACGAAGATGTCGTAAGTTACGACTTAAATTTACAGCCAAAAAATTCGTACCGGTGACAGTACGCCGTCTTGGAGTCGCAGACCATGACCATCTTGGTTCCGTAGCGGTGCGGCTTATCAGGCATGAACATGCGTGTGGTATTCCTTCGTGACGTGGCTGGCAGCACCCCTTCATCAAACGAAAACACAGCAGGAAGAGACCAACCCGAGCGAAACCGTTCTGTCAGCACATCCACGACGGGACGTAGCTTCCACAGACGATCGCAAGCACGAGAAGCTTCGTTGTTCACGAAATGTAAGTCGCGAAGTATAGATGTGCACCGATTGCGGGCCATGAACCTCCCAAAGATACCTGCCGACATCGCCCCATCGTCAGTCATCGACCAGTGCCTGGAAAACCGCCGCTTGTGTGGACACAATGCGTGAGCCACCAGCAGCCCAATCGCATGCAGAATCTCGGATGGTTCGTACGATTTTTCAGCACGCAGCCGCCGCCGAAGTTGCGCCAGTGTCTCCGGTGTCGACGGGCGATGCAATCGTACTTGGTTTGCTCGCATTCTCGATGCGCGCGCTTCAATATGCTGCCTCCGGTAGCGGTTGGTCTCGTCCGTGATCTGCACCCACAATGTCTTCGGCAGAAAATACAGAAACAAAGCGAGCGGTGAGTCGGCCATCTCTCTCAACTCTGGGATGGGCGCATCCATATCACGAGACAGTAGCGGGTAGCTGGCAGGGTCCGTCTCGAACGCTGCCGATGGTGCGCCCCACTTCGTTTCTCTCAACGCGTCTTTGTCGATGTTGTTCATGTCCAACGAGCCACCTAGCCACTCGAGAAAGGCTTCATCCACAAGTTCCACTTCATCATCAGAAAGATCGGGATCGCCCGGATATTCGCGAGGCACAACTACTTCGTCATCCAGATCGTCTTCTCCATCACTGCCACTGGAGTCCAAGTTCTCGTACGCAGCTGCATCCTCCCCGTCCTTCATGATGTTCACGTTGTCGACACCGGACTCAGGAACGGACGCTGCGGCATGCGGTGGTTCGTCCTCCTCACACTTCCCTTCTTCTTCGATACGCGTGTCCGACTCTGCTTCCGACAAAAGACGCTGGAACGCCCCGATAACGACGTTATGGTCCGACTCGTCCAACATCGGCAACGCAGGCGTGAGATCAAATGCGCGTCCCACAGCATTTTGTGATAGGTCGTCGACAGGATCGCACCTATCAAAAATGGAATCCAATGTCGGCGCCGACAACGTCACCGAGCAGTCAATCTGCGATGCAGAAACTGCCTCCTCACGTCCAGAGTCTCGCTGCTCTTCGAGGGGGTCTCCTCCCGGATGCTCAGCTCGTTCTGGTCGCGCAGTGGCTGCATAGTCCTGGCGCACGGCCATGCCACCTTCCTCCAGCTCGCAAGTCTCCATAGCCCTGGCTGACAACACACCATCGTCTCCACGCCGTTTGCTGGCGTCTGTGGCCCGTCGCCTTCACCGTCCGCCGTACAGGAAGCACCGTCTCCAACCAGGTGCTCACTGGAGCCACCGTGTTGCTCCTCCACGCTGCCGCCGCCATCGCTATCCTCGTGCACCCTATAGCAAAGCTAACAACAGCATCCTCTCCTTCAAATACACAGTTAGAACGAGGTATAGTTCAAAGCATGTCGACAAATACATACCTGTGAACCAATTAGTCCCCTCCTCGAGATTGCTACCATCCGCACGGGGCGCGAAATATCTCCAGTTGGTCGACAGCATCGTCGGCTTCTTCGACTTCCAGCCCACCGCCTTGAGCTGCCGCCAGAGGTGCCGAAAGTCAACGGAGCGGACCTCCGCCGCTTCCTTCGTGCGCGAGCTATTGCGAATCCTTACCATCACGAATTGTTGGCTTCGGGTCAAATTTCTGAATGAGCCGAAATTCCCGCTCGACCGCCGCCACTCATCACTGTTGACGACTTGTCTCAACCCACGTTTGTCCTTTTTGTGCGATTTCGGATTTGACCTCTCCCAGCTTATATATTTTTTCGCCCAGAATAAGCTTGATTAAAGTATGGGTGCGTCGTTTTCGAGCCATTTGCTGTTTAAGGCTCTCTAGAACGTCGTAAGTTACGACAAAAAATATTATTCGTCGTAACTTACGACGTTGGTAACAGAGGGGTTAATTATTTAAATTAAGAAAATCGATAAATACCTATACTATATAGATACCATGTCCATTTCTTTCGGGAAGTACAAAGGCTCAACTATTGAAGATGTCTTCGAGACGGACCCATCATACTGTCGATGGCTTCGTTCTCAGGAGACATTGCTAAATTTTTTGTTGCTAAGTTTGGAACTACAAATGATGATGGCTTTTACATCCTAAACTTTGGTCGCTACAAAGGGAAGTCGGTGAAGCAGGTATATGCTATCGACGTCCCATACATTCAATGGCTACGATCATCTAAGTTCGCAACTGAAAAGGCACCTAAGCTATGCGCTGCTATAGACGAATTGTAAAAAAAAAACTAAATCACCTTTTTTTATTGGGTTGAAAGATAAAAAAAACTCAATTCGTAGCATTTGTTTTTACTATCAAATTCGGTATGTGTTTTCTATTACTATCGTCGTAGAAGACAACCCCGCTTCGCGCATGCGGCTTGTAGTAGCGCTTCTGCTCTGCTTTAATGAGGTCCTTGTTGAGTTGGTATTGTTCGTGTGAATAAGTGATCTCTCCTTATATAATCATCAGGAGTAAGCATTAATTAACAAGACTAGTCTTACGCAAAAGAAGTTTATTTCTTTCATCCACGATCACCATAGCAACTCGCATTCACTTACCACCGGCGCTATACATACTATAGCTCATCCTTTGTTTCACCTTCGGGATCAGGCGGCAACGAAGACGGTAATTCGGGGATTAATCCTTGAAATGTGAAGCCATAGGATTGGTACTGCTCGTTCTTCGCGGAGCCATCCAGTCCACCACCCATATATCCCACTGGTACCCCCCTTTTGGTGCACACAATCGCGCTTCCAGATAGACCAGGAGCTGACAAAGATGAGAGAGTCATTTGGTTTCCGCTCCAACCGGTGATTTTAGCTGTAATGATGGCGTAATCGTGATCAAAATGTTGGTCTTGAAGTGCGCCAGGGAATCCGAACACGTCCACAATCATTGTGTCATACACTTTAAGGGACATCTTACATCGAACGAGTTTGTTATCTCGTGGCACAGCAACTTCGAAGATTGCAAAGTCGAACGCTGCTGAACTACGCCAGCATGCGTCTCTGTCGAGGCTGAATCGGTGGACTTCTTCCGGCTTCGTCGTACAGTATCAGGAAGGAGTTGTTCCACCACAACTTGAGGCTTGTCTGACACAACTGGTGTGTTTTTGTTCATCGCTACAATCCGTTGAGATTTACGAGGCTGCTGTATTGCA